CCCGCTCTCTCTCCCGCTCTCTCACTCGCCCTCTCACTCGCTCTCTCTCACTCACTCACTCGCTCTCTCTCCATCTCTCCTGACGCAACCTCCCCAGGTCCTCATCTCCCGACCCGTCGCTCGTTCCTCCGCCCAACCCCAACCTCGCCATCAGCCGCAAGAGCACCGGGCAGCTCAACCTCGTCGCCGGCGGCGTCGGCGTCAACCACACCTCCCACCTATCCTTCCAGGCCTCCGGCCACCACCACCGTAGCAACTCCATGCCCAAGCGCTTCGGCCCGGCGGACCGGCTCCCCGAGCCGAGACGGAGCGCCACGCTCGACCGCCTGGAAGCCAGGGGGGGCGCCGGCTGCTATTCTCGAAGTCACCTGGGCACGATCGTGGCCGCTGGCCTCCACCTGGGCAAAGCCCACAGCCTGAGTTCGTTACGCGAGGGGCACGCGGACCTGGGACCGCAGCTGCAGCAGCACTATCAGCAGCAGCAGCACTATCAGCAGCAGCAGCAGCACTATCAGCAGCAGCAGCAGCACTATCAGCAGCAGCAGCAGCATCAGCAGCAGCAGCAGCATCAGCAGCAGCATCATGCCTACCAGCCGAGCGTGCAGATTCAGTTCAACCAGCAGCACTATCAGCAACAGCAGCCGACGGTGGTGACTGCGGCAGACTCGTCAGCGCTGCTAGTCACGCTGTTCTGGATCGGCGTTGCGCTCCTTGACTCCGACTACGACACGGAGTTCACGATGGCGCTCAGGTATGCGGCCCCCTTAGCTCCTCCTCCTCCTCTTTCCCCGCTCCCTTCCCCCGCTGCCATCGATGCGATCGGGGAGGGGGGAGAAGAAAAAAAAACTTTGAATGATCGCAATGTTGATAATTGTTTTTTTACCCTTTTATATTGCATAGACCACAATACCTGCGGTCGTAATGCAAACAAAAAACACAACTCTGATAATGTATGTGCACTGTCCTTGAAGTTGATTGGTCCACACCCGAGACAGCTTTCCTTAGAGCCTAGTCTCACATGGTGTTGGACCAGATGACGCCAAACGGCGCACAACTCAAAGACAATGCACCATCAGAGTATGAGAGCTCGGGCAAACAATTTACATCATTGGAACCTCCTTTGCCAGTAGCAAAATAGGATAATTGTTTTTTTACCCTTCTATCTGGCAACAAAACTGACACTTTTTTTTTACAAGGAGTCATGTTTGCATTGACCACAATACCTGCGGTCGTAATGCAAACAAAACACACAACTCTGATAATGTATGCACTGTCCTTGAAGTTGATTGGTCCACAGATTTCCTAAGAGCCTAGTCTCACATGGTGTTGCGCCTTTTGGCATCATCAGGACCTCATAGTCACTGACTCAATGTGACATGGCCATCGTGACCCACTGAGAGAGAGATAAAGAGACACCCAGAACCAGGGTTCGAAGCCAGGTCCTCATAGCCACTGACTCAATGTGACATGGCCATCGTGAACCCACTAAGAGAGAGATAAAGAAACAGCCAGACCCAGGGCTCGAACCCAGGACCTCATAGCCACTGACTCAATGTGACATAGCCATTGTGAACCCCTCCAAGAGAGACCCCCAGACCCGGGGTTCGAACCCAGGTCGTCATCGGCGCTGAATCGGCGTCTCCGGGCCGTGAGCCGACTGGGGCTGGCTCTCTGGCTCGCTCGGCGTTTGGTCGTGTGGCTCTGTGTGCTCACGCCTGAGGGAGGTCGTGCCGCGTGTGTGTGTGTGCGTGTGTCTTTGAACAACCGTGGGGAGTGGTGGCGCACAGGTTAGCGCGTTGCGCTACGAACCCGGCGACCCGGCGGTCGATTAGCGCTCACGGCGAACACCGGTGACGATTATCTGAACCGGTCCTGGGCCTCCCGTAGGTCGACTCAGCCTCAAATGAGTACCTGGTGCGGTGTAAAATCATCGCTACTGGGGAGACAAAGGCGGTCGGGCGTGGTGCTGGCCACCCCACCCCCTCGTGTGCCGTTCCGGCCTTCATAGGTGCTCGCTAACAGCACTTGCCCCTACAGTCTGTCAAGGCTATACGGGAGATCTTTGTCTTTGAACATCCGTGGGGAGTGGTGGCGCACAGGTTAACGCGTTGCGCTACGAACCCGGCGACCCGGGGTCGATTAGCGCTCACGGCGAACACCGGTGACGATTATCCGAACCGGTCCTGGGCCTCCCCTAGGTCGACTCGGCCTCAGTTCAGTACCTGGTTCGATGCGTAAAAACATCACCGCTAGGGAGACAAAGGCGGCCGGGTGTGGTGCTGGCCACCCCCACCCCCCTTCGTGAGCTGTGCCGGTCTTCATAGGTGCTGCTACTCGCTAACAGCACTTGCCCCTACAGTCTGTTAAGGCTACGCGGGGGATCTTTGTCTTTGGGGAGCGGTGACGCAGCGGTCGGCGCTACGCCGCGCTACGAACTCGGCCACCCGGGTTCGATTCCCGCTCACGGCCAACACCGGTGACGATTTTTGGAACCGGTCCTGGGCCTCCCCTAGGTCGACTCAGCCTCACACGAGTACCTGGGGCGGTGCGTAGTAAACCTCGCCACTGGGGGAGACTAAGGCGGGTGAGAATGGAGCTGGCCACCCACCCCCCTCATGCACCGTTCCGACCTTCGTAGGTGCACGCTAACAGCGCTTGCCCCAACAGGTTACACGGGGGAGGACGCTATCTTTGTAAGTTGAACACGACGGCTTTGTCTTTGTCCCGACGCGCAGGCTGCTGGACAGGCTGCTGGGCCCACAGGGCCTGGAGCTGGGCGTGGAGGAGACACGCGACCGCCTGCACAAGGCCATGTCCCAGCTCAGCTGGTCCAGCTTCCCAGGCATACAGCCCCTGCTGCTCAAAGGTGCGGGGCTTTGGGATGCGTCAGAGGTCGCAAACGGGTTTTGATTCAATTTCGATTTAAAGCTTCTTTCGTGACTGCAGGGATTCATCTTCTTGGTTCTTTCGGTAAAGTCACGTAGAAGGGAAATAATAAAATAATAAAAATTAAACATAATAAAATTTCGATTTAAAGCTTCTTTCGTGACTGCAGGGATTCATCTTCTTGGTTCTTTCGGTAAAGTCACGTAGAAGGGAAATAATAAAATAATAAAAATTTAACATAATAAAAGAATTCTCACGACGTTTCGGCCACAACGCAAGCAGCCGTCCTCAGGTGGAGAACAGGTCTGTCGGGGAGACAGCGAGAAATATTTTATTATGTTTTATTTTTATTATTTTATTATTTCCATTCTACATGACTTTACCGAAAGAACCAAGAAGAGGGTTTTGATTCCTTACCCGTACCCGGCCGCACCAGGGTCGCAAACGGTACCCGTACCCTACCCGAAATGAGTAACAAACGGTTACTCACCGGTGACTCACGGCCTACCTGTACACAGCCGTACCCGTACCCTACCCGTACCCGGCCGGGTATCGGGTAGGGTACGGGTATCGGGTACCCGATTGCGACCTCTGGGATGAAGCCATGTTGCAGGCGCGGGTGGGTTGATTCTAGGAACTTGAATTGTGAGAAGAGACAAGACGTTGGGAAATGAGTGACAAACGGTGACTCACCAGTGACTCACGGCCTACCCGTACCCGGCCGCACCAGGGTCGCAAACGGCTACCCGTACCCGGCCGGGTACGGGTAGCCGGGTATCGGGTAGGGTACAGGTATCGGGTTCCCGGTTGCGACCTCTGGCATGCGTTGCTGGCGGTACCCCCACACTTTGCCCCCGCCGCGCACGTGACCTTACGTACGCACGTATGTTGAGCTTCTCTCGCGACGCACGTAGCCGGCCGTGCTCATGGGAGGTGCGGGAGCTGCCTATTGCGGAGTGATTATGGTGTGCATCCGCTGTTGGGTTGCGCACGGAGGCTGTGGTGAGTCTGTGGGTCTCTGTGTGATTCTGTGGTGGTGCTGGTGGCGGTGGCGGCGGTGCTGCTGGTGGTGCTGGTGGTGCTGGCTTTGATGGTGGCAGTGCTAACTTTGGTGGTGGTAGTGTGGGTGGTGGTGCTGCTGGTGCTACTGATGGTGATGTTGGTGTTGCTGGTAGTTGTGGTGGTGATGGTGGTGGTGGTGATGGTGGTGTTGCTGGTGGTGGTGATGCTGCTGCTGATGGTGATGGTGGTGGTACTGGTGGCGGTGGCGATGTTGGTGATGGTGGTGTGGTTGGTGTTGTTGGTGGTTGTACTGTTGCTGGTGGTGGTGATGATGGTGCTGCTGCTGTTGGTGGTGGTGGTGGTGTGGTTGGTGTTGTTGGTGGTTGTGCTGTTGCTGGTGGTGATGATGCTGGTGCTGCTGCTGGTGGTGGTGTTGCTGGTAGTTGTGGTGCTGTTGCTGGTGGTGATGCTGGTGCTGCTGCTGGTGGTAGTGGTACTGGTGGTGGTGGTTGTGCTGCTGGTGCTGCTGGTGGTGGCGGTGGCGATGTTGGTGGTGGTGTGGTTGGTGTTGTTGGTGGTTGTGCTGTTGCTGGTGGTGATGATGCTGGTGCTGCTGCTGGTGGTGGTGTTGCTGGTAGTTGTGGTGCTGCTGCTGGTGGTGATGCTGGTGCTGCTGCTGGTGGTAGTGGTACTGGTGGTGGTGGTTGTGCTGCTGGTGCTGCTGGTGGTGGCTGGTGGCGATGTTGGTGGTGGTGTGGTTGGTGTTGTTGGTGGTTGTACTGTTGCTGGTGCTGCTGCTGCTGGTGGTGGTGGTGGTGATGTTGGTGGTGATGTTGGTGTTGCTGGTGGTTGTGCTGCTGCTGCTGATGGTGGTGGTACTGGTGGTGGTGGTGATGTTGTTGGTGGTGATGTTGGTGGTGGTGGTGGTTGTACTGCTGCTGGTGGTGGTGATGGTGGTGGTGGTACTGGTGGTGGTGGTGGTGGTGATGTTGTTGGTGGTGATTTTGGTGTTGCTGGTGGTTGTGCTGCTGCTGGTGGTGGTGATGGTGATGGTGCTGGTGCTACTGATGATGGTGGTACTGGTGGTGATGTTGGTGTTGCTGGTGGTTGTACTGCTGCTGGTGATGGTGGTGGTACTGGTGGTGGTGATGTTGTTGGTGGTGATTTTGGTGTTGCTGGTGGTTGTGCTGCTGGTGGTGGTGATGGTGCTGGTGCTACTGATGGTGGTGGTACTGGTGGTGATGTTGGTGTTGTTGGTGGTTGTACTACTGCTGGTGTTGTAAACTTCATTGTTGTTTGCCGCCTGTAGGTTTCACCTCCGCCAGCACGCTGGATCTGACCGTGCAGCTGCTGGGAAAGCTGACCGCCGTTTCGCGCACGGCCATCGTTGACCCGAGCCAAACCACCGGTACGGACGTTCCATCCCTCCCCCCCGCCCCCCGCCCCCCGCCAAGGCAGCCCCCCAGTGGAACTTGTCCCTGTGCATCACACAGTGACTCAGCTCCGAGCCTGCGAGATTGACGGAAAGCTGTCGTGTTGTTGAAGCATCTTGATGTCATACAACAAGAGCGATGATTCCATGCTGCAGCGATTAGTCTCTGTGCATCACACGGTGACTCGGCTCCTAGCCTGCGAGATTGACGGAAAGCTGTCGTGTTGTTGAAGCATCTTGATATCGTACAACAAGAGCGATGATTCCATGCTGCAGCGGTTAGTCTCTGTGCATCACACCGTGACTCGGCTCCTAGCCTGCGAGATTGACGGGAAGCTGTCGTGTTGTTGAAGCATCTTGATATCATACAACAAGAGCGATGATTCCATGACCATTCAGACGCCGTCTTTCCGACAGACCTGTTCTTCACCCGAGGACGGCTGCTTGCGTTGTGGCCGAAACGCCGTGAGAATTGTATTTTATTATGTTTTATTTTTATTATTTTATTATTTCCCTTCTACGTGACTTTACCGAAAGAACCAAGAAGATGAATCCCTGCTGCAGTCACGAAAGAAGCTTTCAATCGAAATACTTCTCCGTACTTTTAAGTTTTCGTTCCATCGGTGTCCGTGTCGTCGCGGGTGACGCTCGCCGATTGAATCTTTTATTTTTCCCCCGATTGGCACTTCGGTGAAGCGCTCTTCCCCGTAGGGGTTGCGTTCTTTCCGGGCAAATGCTGCCCCTCCCTCCGTCAGCGATGACGTCTACGGCAAAGTGAACGCGCTGGTGGCGATAAATGACGTAGTCGACGATGAACTTTTGACGAGATACGAAGTCACCACTGCTGCCGTCACTGCTACGCACACCGCGCAGTGAGATGGCGAAGAGGGTTACGCCACCGCCGCCGCGTTACGGTATTGCACCGCGTTACGGTATTGCACCGCGTTACGGTATTGCACCGCGTTACCGTATCGTTCCGCGTTACCGTATCGCACCGCACCGCTCGACCACGCGGCTCAAGAAAGTAGTTCTTCGTCAAACGCTCAGAAACCGCGTTGTAGCGGTGTTGCGTTTCACGTTACAACAGACGCGTTCCGCTTTATAACGGTACGCGCGTTTTAACAGTGTCGCGTTTCACATTATGACAGACGCGTTCCACGTTATAACGGTGTCGCGTTTCACATTACAACAGACGCATTCCACGTTATAACGGTGTCGCGTTCCGCCTTATAACGGCGGTACGCTTTCCGCGTTTGGCGAATGAAATAACCGCGTGAATGCGATCGCCGCGCGCGTCATAGCGAGGGCTGTAGGCCTCCTGTAGCCATTCTTGAACATTTCCTCCCTCCTCCTCCTCGTTGTCGCATTCAATGCAACGGTGGGTTTTCCGTCAAACTTCAAGTGATTTTTGAAAATATTTTTTCGTCACCGTAATTTGCAATGAGAGTGCTCCAATTAATCACCGCGCGTACGTACATACGCGCTAATCGTGAACGATGGCGCGTCCGCCAATCCTCCCGCCCGCCCGCCCGCCCGCCCACGCCAAATCCCATTTAATCAAAACGGGCTCGCGGTGATGAATCAGCCCACGCGACGACGGGACCGGCGAATCAATTTGTGATTTCACTTTACGGACGGCACCGCACCCCCCCCACCCCGTCACACTGCCGGCGACGAGTGGCCCGGACCACGCCCCGGCTTCAGCCGATAGTCCGCACCGGGTGCAAATTTTTGAGGCCGAGTCGACCTAGGGGAGGCCCAGGATCGGTTCAGATGGTCGCGTGTTGGTGGACGTGAGCGGGAATCGAACTCGGGTGGCCGGGTTCGTAGCGCGGCGCGCTAACCACCCACCCACACACCCACACACACACCCACACACACCCACACACTCACACACTCACGCACCCACGCACCCACGCACCCACTTACGCACCAACCCACCCACCCATGCACCCACCCACGCACCCACCCACACACCCACCCACGCACCTACCCACGCACAAACCCACCCACACACCCACCCACGCACCCACCTACCCACCCACGCACCCACTCACGCACCAACCCACCCACTCACGCACCAACCCACCCCCGCACCAACCCACCCACCCACGCAAAAACCCACCCACCCATGCACCCACCCACGCACCCACCCACACACCAACCCACCCCCGCACCAACCCACCCACCCATGCACAAACCCACCCACCCATGCACCCACCCACGCACCCACCCACACACCAACCCACCCCCGCACCAACCCACCCACCCATGCACCCACCCACGCACCCACCCACACACCAACCCACCCCCGCACAAACCCACCCACCCATGCACTCACCCACGCACCCACCCACACACCAACCCACCCCCGCACCAACCCACCCACCCATGCACAAACCCACCCACCCACACACCAACCCACCCCCGCATCCACCCACCCATGCACGCACCCACCCACCCACGCACCCACCCACAAACCCACCCACGCACCCACCCACGCACCCACCCACACACCAACCCACCCATGCACCCACCCACCAACTCACCCACTAAATCGGAAATCCACTCATGCAAAGACAAAGACAAAGATCCCCCGTATAGCCTTAACAGACTGTAGGGGCAAGTGCTGTTAGCGAGCACCTATGAAGGCCGGAACGGTACACGAGGGGGTGGGTGGCCAGCACCACGCCCGACCGCCGTTGTCTCCCAAGCGGCGATGTTTACACACCGCACCGGGTACTCATTTAAGGCTGAGTCGACCTAGGGGAGGCCCAGGACCCTGTTCAGATAATCCTCACTGGTGTTAGCCGCTCAATCAACCACTCGCTCACTCACTTCACCCACTCACTCACCCACTCACTCACCCACTCAGTCAACCACTCGCTCACCCACCTCACCCACCTACTCACTCACCCACTCAGTCAACCACTTAGTCAACCACTCGAACCCGGGTCGCCAGGTTCATAGCGCAGCGCGCTAACCGCTACACTACCGCTCCCCACACACGCACACACACACGCACGCACGTACGCGCGTCAAGGGCAGGCTGCTGATTTCTGATGTCGTTAGCATTGATTGCATAGACATCCCCGCGATGTTTGGCGAGTGCTCGATTTGATTAAGGACCCCGCGCGAGTCTCGGCGGGACCGCCCGTCCCGTCAGAATCCGAATTTTTATTTTCATCCCGGAGGAAATCCTGATGAGTCGCGAAGCTCTTGTTCGGCGGTGGTTGATCCACGCGATAAGCCACAAGCCATGCCCTGCATGTTACCGTCATTCGGCTCGTTTGCCCGGGAAAGCCTGCCTTGTTCTTGGTTCTTTCGGTAAAGTCACGTAGAAGGGAAGTAATAAAATAATAAAAATAAAACATAATGAAATAATTTTCACGACGTTTTGGCCACAATTATTGCTTCCCTTCTACGTGACTTTACCGAAAGAACCAAGGAGATGAATCCCTGCAGTCACGAAAGCTTTAAATCGAAAGCCTGCCTTGTTTTGTCAATCCCTCCACCACCCGTCACGGCCCCAGACGAATCGAGTTGTCGCGCGGCGAGCAAGCGTTGTGGGTCTCTCGCTCACCCACTCAGTCAACCACTCAGTCAACCACTCGCTCAGCCACCTCACCCACCTACTCACTCACCCACTCAGTCAACCACTCAGTCAACCACTCGCTAACCCACTCACTCATCCACCTACTCACTCACCGACTCAGTCAACCACTCAGTCAACCACTCTGTCAACCACTCGCTCACCCACTTCACCCACCTACTCACTCACCCACTCAGTAAACCACTCTGTCAACCACTCTGTCAACCACTCGCTCACCCACCTCACCCACCTACTCACTCACCCACTCATTCAACCACTCAGTCAACCACTCGCTCACCCACCTCACCCACCTACTCACTCACCCACTCAGTCAACCACTCAGTCAACCACTCGGTCAACCACTCGGTCAACCACTCGCTCACCCACCTCACCCACCTACTCACTCACCCACTCAGTCAACCACTCAGTCAACCACTCGCTTACCCACTTCACCCACTCACTCACCCGCTCGCTCACTCACTCACCCACTCAGTCAACCACTCAGTCAACCACTCGCTCACCCACTTCACCCACTCACTCACCCACTCACTCGCCCACTCACTCACCCACCCACTCAGTCAACCACTCGCTTACCCACTTCACCCACTCACTCACCCGCTCGCTCACTCAGTCAACCACTCAGTCAACCACTCGCTCACCCACTTCACCCACTCACTCACCCACTCACTCGCCCACTCACTCACCCACCCACTCAGTCAACCACTCGCTCACCCACTTCACCCACGCACTCACCCACTCACTCATATACTCACCCACTCACTCACCTCATCCACTCACTTTCCTACTTCACCCACTCACTCACCCACTCACTCACCTACTCACTCACCTACTCACCCACTCACTCACCTTTGGTGAGTTAAGGAACGTGGGTGGCCAGCACCACACCCGGCCGCCTTTGTCTCCCCAGTCGCGTCGCGATGTTTACACACCGCACCAGGCACTCATTTGAGACTGAGCCAACCTAGAGGAGGAACAGATAATCGTCACTGCTGTTGGCCGCGGGCGGGAATCGATCCCGGGTTGCCGAGTTCGTAGCGCAGCGCGTTCACCGTTACACTACCGTATTGACTCACAAAGACAAAGATCCCCCCCCTCCTATTATAGCCTTAACAGACTGTAGGGGCAAGTGCTGTTAGCAGCACCTATGAAGGCCGGCACGGCACACGAGGAGGATGGGTGGCCAGCACCACGCCCGGCCGCCTTTGTCTCCCCAGTGGCGATGTTTAATACACACCGCACCGGGAATTCATTTGAGGCTGAGTCGACCTAGGGGTGGCCCAGGACCACTTGGGATAATAGTTGCTGATGTTGGCCGTGAGCGGGAATCGAACTCGCGACGCCGAGTTTGAGGCGCTGCTATGCGCTAACCGCTACGCCACCGCTCCCCAATACAAAGATAAAGACAAAGATCCCCCGTATAGCCTTAACAGACTGTTGGGGCAAGTGCTGTTAGCGAGCACCTATGAAGGTCGGCACGGCACACGAGGGGGTGGGTGGCCAGCACCACGCCCGGCCGCCTTTGTCTCCCCAGTGGCGATGTTTGGACAAATGACTCGCACACACTTACTCACTCTCTGCAGGACAGGGGCAGAACATACAAACTCGGCACGGGAATCGAACTCGGCTTCCACGGGCGGAGAGCGGATTTGGATCGATCGTTGCGACGTCGTTTTATCCAGACGCCGGCTTGAAGCATCGCCAATTCCCAGGCAGCAGCAGCAGCAGCATCCGTGCCTTTACGCTTCGCTGCAAATGCAATTTCCTTAAATGCAGTTTTCAATTCCATCTGCTCAACGGCACGCACTTATCCAAGTAATGTTGTTCATTTTTCAATATCAATATGGATTAAAAAAGCAATTCTCATTTTATTTTTTTCGTTTTTTTTGCCGTTAATATTTCACAGAGCAGCCACTATGATAATCAGAATATGTATTTGGACTTGATGAATCCGATGAGCTGTGAAGCGCTTCTTCACAGATGTCCCAGTAAGGGGCACGTGATCAGAACGTCATAACGACAAACGGTACAAAAACACGGACAGTTGTGCAAAGTGCAAAAAATGTAAACAACTTCTTGGTTCTTTCGGTAAAGTCACGTAGAATGGAAATAATAAAATTTAAAAAATTAAACATAATAAAAAAAAAATATTATTTTTTTATTATGTTTTATTTTTATTATTTTATTATTTCCATTCTACGTGATTTTACCGAAAGAACCAAGTCACGTAGAATGGAAATAATAAAATAAAAAAATAAAACATTTTTTTAAATATTATATTATTTTTTTATTATGTTTTATTTTTATTATTTTATTATTTCCATTCTACGTGACTTTACCGAAAGAACCAAGAAGATGAATCCCTGCAGTCACGAAAGCTTTAAATCGAAATCTAAACAAGTCACTCAAACACTTACAAATACAACACTAAACCATCCACATCCTACCCAGGCAAACGCCCCACCGAGGCGTTAATTGATCTTCCTACCCCCCCCTCGCACCTCCGATTATCATGGTCAACTAGGTACGGTGCGAAAGAAGTCCAGCACGCGTACATTCGCATGCAACGCGGATCTCTCAACAGCACAACTCGTGATGATGGTGAACTTTCATCATCGTCGTAATCGCCGTTCTCTCCTCCGGGTTTGTCACGCAGGATTCCCTCTCAACGTGCTGTTTCTGCTCCCATACCTCGTCCAGAACTTTGACAGCCCCACGGAGTTTTGCCGGGAATGCGCTGACAACATTTCCCAGGTGAGAGGGAAGGGGGGTGGGTGGTTAAGGGACTCGTGCGGTTACAACCGGGTCATCGGGTGAGATAAAACCGGTACAAGCCTGTAGAGACACCCATAGACTCACAGAGTAATGGTTAGTGCACCTTAGACTCACACAGAGACACATAGACTCACATAGACACCCATAGACTCACATAGAGACACATAGACTCACACAGACACCCATAGACTCACATAGAGACACATAGACTCACACAGAGACACATAGACTCACACAGACACCCATAGACTCACATAGAGACACATAGACTCACATAGAGACACATAGACTCACACAGACACCCATAGACTCACATAGAGACACATAGACTCACACAGAGACACATAGACTCACACAGAGACCCATAGACTCGCATAGACACCCATAGACTCACATAGACACCCATAGACTCACAGAGTAATGGTTAGTGCACCTTAGACTCACACAGAGACCCATAGACTCACATAGACACCCATAGACTCACATAGAGACACATAGACTCACACAGAGACACATAGACTCACACAGAGACACATAGACTCACACAGAGACACATAGACTCACACAGATACCCATAGACTCATCACACAGAAACCCATAGACTCACATAGACTCACAGAGTAGTGGTTAGTGCACCTTAGACTCACACAGAGACCCATAGACTCACATAGACACCCATAGACTCACATAGACACCCATAGACTCACAGAGTAATGGTTAGTGCACCTTAGACTCACACAGAGACCCATAGACTCACATAGACACCCATAGACTCACATAGAGACACATAGACTCACACAGAGACACATAGACTCACACAGAGACACAGACTCACACAGAGACACATAGACTCACACAGATACCCATAGACTCATCACACAGAAACCCATAGACTCACATAGACTCACAGAGTAGTGGTTAGTGCACCTTAGACTCACACAGAGACCCATAGACTCACATAGACACCCATAGACTCACATAGAGACACATAGACTCACACAGAGACACATAGACTCACACAGAGACACATAGACTCACACAGAGACACATAGACTCACACAGAGACCCATAGACTCACATAGACACCCATAGACTCACAGAGTAATGGTTAGTGCACCTTAGACTCACACAGAGACCCATAGACTCACATAAACAACTCTGATGATGATAATGATATGCACTGTCCTTGAAGTTGATTGGTCCACACCCGAGACAGCTTTTCTTAGAGCCTAGTCTCCATTGGTGTTGGACCAGATGACGCCAAAAGACATACAACTCAAAGACAGCGCACTATCAGAGTATTGAGAGCTCGGGGTAAGCATTTACACTATGAGACCTCCTTTACCAGTGGCAAAATATAGTGGTAGGTTTTTACCCTTTCAACTGGTACAAAAACTGACACCTTGATACAAGGCATCATTATTATTATTTTTGCATCGTACGGGACGGTGACCGCCCATCTCTCCCTTGTGCCCACCCCCACCACCACCCCCACCACCCCCCCCCCCCACCACCACCACCACCCCCACCACCCCTCACCACCACTACCACCACCACCCCCACCACCCCCCCCCACCACCACCCCCCACCTCCACCACCACCACCACCCCCCACCACCCCCCACCACCCCCCACCACCCCCCCCCACCACCACCTCCACCACCACCACCACCACCACCCCCACCACCCACCACCACCTCCACCACCACCCCCCACCACCCCCCACCACCCCCCACCTCCACCACCACCCCCACCACCCCCCCACCACCACCACCCCCACCATCCTCCACCACCACCTCCCACCACCACCCCCACCACCCCCACCACCCCCACCACCACCCCCCACCACCCCCACCACCCCCACCTCCACCACCCACCACCACCCCCACCACTCCACCACCACCACCACCCCCACCACCACCCCCACCACCACCCCCACCATTCCCACCACCACCACCCCCACCACCTCCACCATCTCCACCACCACCACCACCCCCACCACCACCCCCCACCACCTCCCACCACCACCCCCACCACCACCACCCACCCCCACCACCCCCACCACCCCCACCTCCACCACCCCCACCTCCACCACCCCCCACCACCCCCACCACCCCCACCTCCACCACCCCCCACCACCCTCACCACCCCCACCACCACCCCCACCATTCCCACCACCACCACCCCCACCACCCCCCCACCACCACCACCCCCACCATTCCCACCACCACCCCCACCACCTCCACCACCCCCACCACCTCCACCACCACCACCTCCCCACCACCACCACCCCCACCACCACCCCCACCACCCCCACCACCACCACCCCCACCACCAACCCCACCACCCCCCACCACCACCACCCCCACCACCACCCCCACCACCCCCACCACCCCCACCACCCACCCCACCCCCCACCACCCCCACCACCACCACCCTCCACCACCTCCACCACCCCCACCACCCCCACCACCCCCACCACCCCCCACCACCACCCCCCACCACCACCACCACCACCACCCCCACCACCCACCACCACCTCCACCACCACCCCCCACCACCCCCCACCACCCCCCACCACCCCCCACCTCCACCACCACCCCCCACCACCACCACCCCCACCATCCTCCACCACCACCTCCCACCACCACCCCCACCACCCCCACCACCACCCCCCACCACCCCCACCACCCCTACCTCCACCACCCACCACCACCCCCACCACCCCCACCACCACCACCCCCACCACCACCCCCACCACCACCCCCACCATTCCCACCACCACCACCCCCACCACCTCCACCACCACCACCACCCCCCACCACCACCCCCACCACCTCCCACCACCACCACCACCCCCCCACCACCACCCCCACCACCTCCCACCACCACCACCACCCCACCACCACCACCACCCCCACCACCACCACCCCCCCACCACCACCACCCCCCACCACCACCACCCCCCACCACCCCCACCACCCCCACCTCCACCACCCCCACCTCCACCACCCCCCACCACCCCCACCACCCCCACCTCCACCACCCCCCACCACCCTCACCACCCCCACCATTCCCACCACCACCACCCCCACCACCCCCCACCACCACAACCCCCACCACCACCCCCACCATTCCCACCACCACCACCCCCACCACCTCCACCACCCCCACCACCTCCACCACCACCACCTCCACTACCACCACCACCCCCCACCACCACCCCCACCACCCCCACCACCACCACCCCCCACCACCCCCACCACCACCCCCACCACCCCCACCACCACCACCCCCACCACCCCCACCACCACCACCCCCACCACCACCCCCACCACCCCCACCACCCCCACCACCACCACCCCCCCACCACCCCCACCACCCCCACCACCACCCCCCCACCACCCCCACCACCTCCACCACCCCCCACCACCCCCCACCTCTACCACCACCACCACCTCCACCACCCCCACCACCCTCACCACCCCCACCACCCCCACCACCACCACCCCCACCACCCCCACTCCCCACCACCCCCTCACCCCCACCACCCCCACCACCCCCACCACCACCCCCACACCCCCCACCACCCACCACCTCCACCACCACCCCCCCCCTACCCCCACCACCCCCACCACCACCACCCCCACCACCACCCCCACCCCCACCACCCCCCACCACCCTCCACCACCTCCACCACCCCCACTCCCCACCACCACCACCCCCCCCACCACCACCACCACGCCCACCACCCCCACCACCCCCACCACCCCCACCACCACCACCACCCCCCACCACCCCCCACCACCCCCACCACCACCCCCCCCACCCCCCACCACCACCACCACCCCCCCACCCCCCCCCACCCCCACCACCCCCACCACCCCCACCAGGTGTGTCTGGAGGAGAAGACGATCAAGCTGGCGAACCTGGCGCACGTCATGAGCCTCTACCGCAACGGCAGCTACACGCGCGACTACGTCAACTGGGTGAACGTCGTGTGCCGCTACCTCCACGACTCTTTCTCCGACTGCACCTTCGACCTCGTCTCTTACCTGGCGGAGGTGACGCGGGGGGAGGGCGGGGGGGGTGGGCGGTGGGGGGGGGCGGAGAGGGGTATTGTGCCCCCCACACACCGCCACCTCAACCACTCTGCGCGCGAGATCGCGCGAATGTTATTGCGTCGGTAACCCACCAACGCCCGACAGAGGTCGCAACCGGGTACCCGATACCCGTACCCTACCCGTACCCGTACCCGGCCGGGTACGGGTAGCCGTTTGCGACCCTGGTGCGGCCGGGTACGGGTAGCCGGGTAGGCCGTGAGTCACTGGTGAGTAACCGCTTGTCACTCATTTCCCAACGTCTTGTCCCAATCAAGTTCCTAGAATCAACCCACCCGCGCCTGCAACATGGCTTCATCCCAGAGGTCGCAACCGGGTACCCGATACCCGTACCCTACCCGATGCCCGGCTACCCGTACCCAGCTGGGTACGGGTACGGATAGGCCGTGAGTCACTGGTGAGTAACCGTTTGTCACTCATTTCGGGTAGGGTACGGGTACGGGTAGGATCCGGCTACCTGTACCCGGCCGGGTGACTCCCCTGTCATTACCTCCCGTGGCCACCAGTCCCTTCGCATTCACAACTGACTCCCCTGTCATTACCTCCCGTGGCCACCGGTCCCTTCGCATTCACAGATGACTCCCCTGTCATTACCTCCCGTGGCCACCAGTCCCTTCGCATTCACAACTGACTCCCCTGTCATTACCTCCCGTGGCCACCGGTCCCTTCGCACTCACAACTGACTCCCCTGTCATTACTTCCCGTGGCCACCAGTCCCTTCGCACTCACAACTGACTCCCCTGTCATTACCTCCCGTGGCCACCAATCCCTTCGCACTCACAGCTGACTCCCCTGTCATTACCTCCCATAGCCACTAGTCCCTTCGCACTCACAACTGACTCCCCTGTCATTACTTCCCGTGGCCACCAATCCCTTCGCACTCACAACTGACTCCCCTGTCATTACCTCCCGTGGCCACCAATCCCTTCGCACTCACAACTGACTTCCCTGTCATTACCTCCCGTGGCCACCAGTCCCTTCACACTCACAACTGACTTCCCTGTCATTACCTCCCATGGCCACTAGTCCCTTCACACTCACAACTGATACCCCTGTCCATTATCTCTCGTGCTCACTTGTCCATTCGTACTGTAGGCTGACTCACCTGTCATTACCTCCCGTGGCCACCAGTCCCTTCGCACTCACAACTGACTCCCCTGTCATTACCTCCCATGGCCACCGGTCCCTTCGCACTCACAACTGACTCCCCTGTCCATTATCTCCCGTGGCCACCAGTCCCTTCACACTCACAACTGACTCCCCTGTCATTACCTCCCATGGTCACCAGTCCCTTCGCACTCACAACTGACTCCCCTGTCATTACCTCCCATGGCCACCGGTCCCTTCGCACTCACAACTGACTCCCCTGTCCATTATCTCCCGTGCCCACTTGTGCATTCGTACTGTAGGCTGACTCACCTGGCATTACCTCCCGTGGCCACCAGTCCCTTCGCACTCACAGCTGCCCGTTTGCATCCCTCGCCCCAACACATCTGTTGAAGGCCGTGACGGACGGACGGAGGGGGGGGATCTTTGTCTAATTTTTGACGTGCGTCTCAGCTTTTGGACAAGGGCCTGCCGAGCCTGCAGTCAACTCTGCTGCAGATCATCTACAGCCTGCTGAGCCACGTGGACCTCTCGGCTGTGCCCGGCAAGAAGTTCAACGTGGACGTCATCAAGATCATCGGCAAATACGTGCAGGTGAGGTCGCTGAAACTCGAGGAGTGTTTGTTTATTTTTCCAGGCAAGGCGCACACCGAGCGGCAAACGGTAGCTCAGCGAAGTGGCTGAGCATCGTGTGGAAGTTTAATGCAGCCAAACGCTCCGCGTGATGCTGATTCTAAAATGTGGAGGGGAAAGAACGGAGGAGCCGGAGAAGAATATACGCGACCACGGGGAGAGAGAGAGAGACACGCAAACTCCAAATATACAGCAGCAGGCATCGTCAGGGTCGGGATCGAACCCACGACCTCCTGTAGACCAGGCGAGGTAGTCAACATCTCATCACGGAGAGAGAGAGAGACACGCAAACTCCAAATATACAGCAGCAGGCGTCAGGGTCAGGATCTAACCCACGACCTCCTGTATACCAGGCGAGGTAGTTAACATTTCACCACGGAGAGAGAGAGACACGCAAACTCCAAATATACAGCAGCAGGCGTCAGGGTCGGGATCGAACCCACATGACCTCCTGTAGACCAGGCGAGGTAGTTAACATCTCACCACGGAGAGAGAGAGAGACAAACTCCAAATATACAGCAGGCGTCAGGGTCGGGGTCGAACCCACATGACCTCTTGTAGACCAGGCGAGGTAGTCAACATCTCCAAGCAACCGCGGTTCCGCTTTAATTGCGCGAAGGGTCCTGTCTGCCGCAGTGTCAATATTGGCGGTGCGATACGGTGGGAGGTCAGTTTTTCACGATAAGACGATTATCGCGATGTGAGTTTCCCATCGCTTTGTAATTATATTTCACCCTACCTCCTGAACGTCTCACTCATCCTCCTCCGTATCTCGCTCAATGTCCCACTCCTCCTCTCACTCAATGTCTCACTCATCATCATCGTCATCCCTCTGTCCCTCACTCAACGTCTCACTTGTGCTTCTAATTCTGACCCGGTTTCTTCCCTCCCATCACTCCTACCACTCATACTCGGACCACTCCTCCCCCACCCCTCACCCCCCCCCACCCCCCCCCACCCCCCCCCCCCCCCACGGCAGAGCCCCCATTGGCGTGAGGCACTCAACATCCTGAAGCTGGTGGTGTCGCGCTCCGCCAGCCTGGCCACTCCGCTGGAGGCGATGGCGGCGATGGCGGCGATGGCGGCGCCGATGTCGGCACGGGGGGGGCCGCCCCTCCCCGCCGAGCTGGCGGGGGGAGCGATGCCGTTACCGGCGCTCCCGCCGGAGACGGGCGCTCACAACAAGCTGTGGGGCTCCACTTCTAAGGAGCTGCCGGGCAAAACGCTGGAGTTCAACTTTGACATCTCGGAGGTGAGCGGTGCTGCGGGTGAGCGCGGGTGAGCGCGGGTGAGCGCGGGTGAGCGCGGGTGAGCGCGGGTGAGCGCGGGTGAGGGGCAGAGGTCGCACACGGGTTTTGATTCCTTACCCGTACCCGTACCCGGCCGCACCAGGGTCGCAAACGGGTACCCGTACCCAGCCGTACCCGTACCCGTACCCGGCCGGGTATCGGGTAGGGTACGGGTATCGGGTAGGGTACGGGTATCGGGTAGGGTACGGGTATCGGGTAGGGTACGGGTATCGGGTAGGGTACGGGTATCGGGTAGGGTACGGGTATCGGGTAGGGTACGGGTATCGGGTAGGGTACGGGTATCGGGTAGGGTACGGTTATCGGGTAGGGTACGGGTATCGGGTAGGGTACGGGTATCGGGTAGGGTACGGGTATCGGGTAGGGTACGGGTATCGGGTACCCGATTGCAACCTCTGGGATGAAGCCATGTTGCAGGCGCGGGTGGGTTGATTCTAGGAACTTGAATTGTGAGAATATTATTATATTATTTTATTATGTTTTATTTTTATTATTCTATTATTTTCCTTCTACGTGACTTTACCGAAAGAACCAAGACGAAGAGACAAGACGTTGGGAAATGAGTGACAAACGGTGACTCACCAGTGACTCACGGCCTACCCGTACCCGTACCCGGCCACACCAAGGTCGCAAACGGGTACCTGTACCCGGCCAGGTACGGGTAGCCGAGTATCGGGTAGGGTACGGGTATCGGGTACCCAGTTGCGACCTCTGGTGAGGGGCGAGCGAGCGAGCGGGCGGGCGAGTTGGGGCTAGTGAGGGTCGCTCTCCAACTCGCCCACGGTGTACGAGAGCGCGCCGGAGTATCGCCGTGATGACCCTCGCTCGTAACGTTAACCCTCGCACGCTGGCGCCGACAGACGCCGGTGATTGGCCGCAAGTCGACGGACCAGCAGGCGCGCCCCGGCGCGGAGAACAAGGGCAAGTGCGGCATCGCCGTGACAAGGAGCACCTCCTCCACCTCGTCGGGGTCCAACTCCACCGCCCTCGTCCACGTCAGCTGGAAACGACCCCAGCTCTCTCAGGTGACACCCCTACCCCCCCCCCCCCCATCACCCCCCCCCCCCTGCATTCCACCCCGCCGATGCACATCGCCGGATTCGAACCGCGAACATCCGGCCCGTGTCACCGCCCGTGTAAAAAAAATTGAATAAACAAGTATAACCCGTAAAAAAACTAAGTTTTTCACTCTAAATCCTTTATATGCATGGCGGCTAGAGTCCTCTCGTCCTCTGGCTTGAGATGGCTGTCACCTATGGGTCAGATGATTGCATGGCAGCCTTAAGCAATTGGTAATTAAATATAATATTTCTGTCCTAAAAAGTGTAAAATTTTCGAACAAAAAGTTTTCACGAACATTAATTGTCTCGCACAACGAGTCTGTGTGCAAAATGTCAGCTCGATTGGATCACGGGAAGTGGGTTAAAAAACGACCGAAATATTTGCACGGTCCTAAGCAAGCAAGCAAGCGAACTTAATATAAAGGATTTAAAAAGTATTTACCGGGGCGGCCTGCCGGTTTTGCCCTCATTGCCACGCGCACGGAATCTCGCCGTGGCCTCCCCCACCTCTGACGGGATTCCGGAAACGGTGCGGTCGCTCTTTCGCAGAGGCGGACAAGAGAGAAGCTGAGCAACGTGTTGTCGCTGTGTGGGCAGGAGGTGGGATTGACCAAGAACCCTTCGGTAAGATGCCACGTGACACTCACTCACCCACTTACCCACCCATTCACCCACCGACTTATCCGCTCACCCACCCACCCACTCACCCACGGACATTACACATGCATCCGCTCACCCACGCAGCAATCCACTCACCCACCCACTCACTCACCCACCCAATCACCCACCCACCAAATCCCCCACCCACCCACCCAATCCACCACCCACCCACTCACTCACCCACCCACTCACTCACCCACCCACCCATCCACCAACTCACCCACCCACCCACTCACCCACTAACCCACCCACACACCCACACACCCACCCACCCACTCACCCACTAACCCACCCAATAACCAACTCACCGACTCACCCACCCACTAACCCACCCACCCACTCACCCACCCACTCACCAACTCACCGACTCACCCACCCACTAACTCACCCACCCACCCACTCACCCACCCACTCACCCACTCATCCACTCACCCACACACCCACTAACCCACCCACCCACTCACCGACTCACCCACCCACTCACCCACCCCCCCACTCACCCACCCAATCACCCACTCCCCCACCCACCCACCCACTCACCCACCCACTCACCCACCCACCCACCCACCCACTAACCCACTCACCCACCCACCCACTAACCCACCCACCCACCCACTCACCCACCCAATCACCCACCCACCCACTAACCCACTAACCCACTCACCCACCCACTCACCCCCCCACCCACTAACCCACCCACCCACTCACCCACTCACCCACCCAATCACCCACCCACCCACTAACCCACCCACCCACTCACCCACCCACTCACTCACCCACCCACCCACTCATCCACCCACCCACCCACCTTGGCGATCTGGTGTGACGGCGTCTCCTCTGCAGGTGATCTTCTCGTCGAGCGGCGACCTGGAGATGGCGGAGCACCAGGCCAGCCTCGTGGCGCCCGCCGAGGAGCCCATGTGCGACCCCGACCTCGACGAGACCTTCAGCGAGCAACATTTCGGCGTCTTCAAGGACTTCGACTTTCTCGACGTTGAGCTGGAGGAAGCGGAGGTGAGAGTTGGCCGGGAAGGAAAGGAAGGAGAGAAAACAAGTATAACCCGTAAAAAAACAAAGTTTTTCACTATAAATCCTTTATATGCGTGGCGGCTAGAGTCCTCTCGTCCTCTGGCTTGAGAATGCTGCCACCTATGGGTCAGATGATTGCATGGCACCATTAAGCAATTGGTAATTAAATATAATTTTTTGTCCTAAAAAGTGTAACATTTTGGTTGGATCACGGGAAGTGGGTTAAAAAACGACCGAAAGATTTGCACGGTCCTAAGCAAGCAAGCAAGCAAGTGAACTTAATATAAAGGATTTAAAAACCTCTCCCCGCGAGCTGGATTCGTCGTTCCATCTCCACGGTGAACGTGGGGTTTTCCCGGTCGCGTTCCGCCCCTTGAAGTGTAGCTACTGCTTGCCGACCGTTACCGCGGTCGTTGTTTTAATGCCATCGTCGTTTTAACCGTGGGCCGTCCATTTAACAAGGTTGTCACTGTTTGTCAATGCTGCCAGCGGGCGTGCCCCCTGAGGCTAGATCAACACAGCAGCAACAACATCGCCACCCTCCTGGCAGACTGACACACAGGGACAGCTGCCACCGAGGGCGCCCCTAGGCTAGACAACACAGCAGCAACAACATCGCCACCCTCCTGGCAGACTGACACACAGGGACAGCTGCCACCGGGGGCGCCCCTAGGCTAGACAACGCAGCAGCGGCAACATCGCCACCCTCCTGGCAGACTGACACACAGGGACAGCTGCCACCGGGGGCGCCCCTAGGCTAGACGCAGCAGCAACAACATCGCCACCCTCTTGGCAGACTGACACACAGGGACAGCTGCCACCGGGGGCGCCCCTAGGCTAGACCACACAGCAGCGGCAACATCGACCCCCCCTATTGTGGGAAGCTATCGCAGCCCGTGTCTGTGAAACACAGGGTCGCGTTGCTCCTTCGTGATGCTTCATGATGCTTGGCCTGCGCTATGAGAACAATGAACAATAATTTAGTAGCAGACGTACAAAATTCGAATGATGGTTATTTACCCAGTGGTCCTGGTTTTCCGAATGGCTTGATGAATTGTGTCTTTCCTTTGCTCTCTTGCCTCGCAGGAGCTCCTGGTAAGGGTAGCCTGTGCGCTCACACACGCACAGGCAGACACAGACACACACACAGACACATACGCGCACACACACACAGACACACACACGCAGACACATATGCGCAGACACACATACAAAACCACACAGACACCAATACAAATACACACACACACGCAGACACACACACGTAGACAAACACGCGCAGACACACATGCAAAACCACACAGACACCAAGACAAATACACACACGCACACACACGCAGACGCGCAGACGCATACGCGCAGACACACATACAAAGACACACAGAAACCAAGACAAATATGCACACACACCAAAACAAAGACACACACACATGCTTGTAATGCAGTGTGATGTCTCCCAAACATGCACGTGCTCATCGCTTAGTACTTGGACACGTGAATGTGCATGTGTGTGTGCGTGCCTGTGTGTGCGTACCTGTGTGTGTGTGCATGTCTGTGCGTGTGTGCGTGCCTGTGTGCGTGCCTGTGTGTGCGTGCCTGCGTGTGCGTGTCTGTGTGTGCGTGTCTGTGTGTGCGTGTCTGTGCGTGTGTGCGTATCTGTTTGTGTTTTCGCGCGTACCTGTGTATATCTGTGTGTGCGTGCTTATGCATACCGATGTGTGTGTGTGCATGAGGGGAGCGGTGGCGCAGTGGTTAGCACGCTGTGCTACAAACCCGGCGACCCGAGTTCGATTCCCGCCCACTGTCAATTACAGTGGTGAAATATTTAACTTGGTCCTGGGCCTTCCCTAGGTCGACTCGGCCTCAAATGAGTACCTGGTGTGGTTTGTAAACATCGCCACTGGGGAGACAAAGGCGGCCGGGCGTGGTGCTGGCCACCCACCCCCTCGTGTGCCGTGCCGGCCTTCATAGGTGCTCGCTAACAGCACTTGCCCCAACAGTCTGTTACAGGCTACATGGAGGGGGGAAGTTTAATTATTCTGATGCGACCGGGTGGCTCAGAGGTCAAGAGACTCAGAACCTGAAACCGCCGAGATCCTGGGTTCAAATCCGGGGTCACAGTCACGATTTAACCTCATTTGCCACTAAAAAATATAAAAAAAAAAAATTTTTACCCTTCTATCTGGCAACAAAACTGACACCTTTTTTACAAGGAGTCATGTTTGCATAGATCACAATACCTGCAGTCATAATGCAAACAAAAAACACAACTCTGATAATGTATGCATTTTGGCGTCATCTGGTCCAACCCATGTGAGACTAGGCTCTAAGGAAAGCTGTCTCGGGTGTGGACCAATCAACTTCAAGGACAGTGCGCATACATTATCAGAGTTGTGTTTTTTGTTTGCATTACGACTGCAGGTATTGTGGTCTATGCAAACATGACTCCTTGTAAAAAAGGTGTCAGTTTTGTTGCCAGATAGAAGGGTAAAAAAAACAATTATCATACTTTTTTACTGGCAAATGAGGTACCAATGGTGTAAATGCTATCCCCGAGCTCTCCTACTCTGATGGTGCATTGTCTTTGAGTTGTGCGCCTTTTGGCGTCATCTGGTCCAACACCATGTGAGACTCGGCTCTAAGGAAAGCTGTCTCGGGTGTGGACCAATCAACTTCAAGGACAGTGCATACATTGTCAGAGTTATGTTTTTTGTTTGCATTATGACTGCAGGTATTGTGGTCTATGCAAACATGACTCCTTGTAAAAAAAGGTGTCAGTTTTGTTGCCAGATAGAAGGGTAAACAAGTATAACCCGTCAAAACAAAGTTTTTCACTATAAATCCTTTATATGCGTGGCGGCTAGAGTCCTCTCGTCCTCTGGCTTGAGATGGCTGCCACCTATGGGTCAAATGATTGCATTGCACCATTAAGCAATTGGTAATTAAATATTATATTTTTGTCCTAAAAAGTGTAAAATTTTGGAAAAAAATTTCACGAACATTAATTGTCACGCACAACGAGTCTGTGTGGAAAATGTCAGCTCGATTGGATCATGGGAAGTGGGTTAAAAAACGACCGAAAGATTTGCACGGTCGTAAGCAAGCAAGCGAACTTAATATAAAGGATTTAAAAAGCAATTACTCAAGCCTCGTCAAATTTTCAGAATTTTTTTTTATTTTTTGCTCATCTCTCTCTGCTCGCTTGCGCGTGCGTCATCATCGTCGCCACCCCCCCTACCCCCCCACGCCCCGACCGCTCCTCAGGGCGAGAGCGTGGACAACTTCAACTGGGGCGTGCGGCGCCGCTCGCTGGACAGCATCGACAAAGTGGAGTTGCCCTCGCTGCACGAGTGTCAGCTCATGGGCACGGGCGGCGGTGGCAGCGTGAAACAGCTCAACGCGGAGGAGACTGATGAGTCCAGCGATGAAGAGGTGACGTCCTAATCCAGAGGCGTTAGGCGTCTGCGAAGAGGAAATTTTTTTAACTGTGCGGAAAATTATCTTGATGACGACCAGGTGCTGGTCTTCTTGGTTCTTTCGGTGAAGTGACGTAGAAGGGAAAGAATAAAATAATAAAAATAAAACATCGTAAAATAATGCAATTCTCACAAAGGGAAATAATAAAAGAATAATAATAAAACATAAAATACAATTCTCACAAAGGGAAATAATAAAATAATAAAAATAAAACATTATCAAATATTCTCACGACGTTTCGGCCACAACGCAAGCAGCCGTCCTCAGGTGAAGAACAGGTCTGTCAGAAAGACAGCGTCTGAATGAAACCATTTATTTAATATTTTTCATTCATTCAGACGCTGTCTTTCCGACAGACCTGTTCTTCACCTGAGGACGGCTGCTTGCGTTGTGGCCGAAACGTCGTGAGAATTGTATTTTATTATGTTTTACTTTTATTAGTTTATTATTTCCCTTCTATGTGACTTTACCGAAAAAACCAAGAAGATGAATCCTTGCAGTCACGAAAGCTTCAAATCTAAAGTTGCGATATTGTAATCTCGCGGCAGCTCACCACCTACTCGCCAACGGAGGAGTCGCTGGCCAATCACGTGGACTCGATGGCCGCCCCGGCCTCGGAGGGCAGCTCGGGGGTCCACAACGGCACGGGGACCCCCGCCACCGGCACCACCGGCACGCCCAGCGCGGAGGTGTCCACCGCAGACGACGCAGAGCAGCTCGCTTCAGAGGTGACGCCAGCGCGCCCCGCCCCGTCAACACCACCGCCGCCGCCGCCGCCACCATCGCCGCCACTACCAACCGCCCGCCACCACCACCACTACCGCCACCACCACCGCCCACCCACTCGTCTACACCCCCCGCCACTACCAACCGCCCGCTATCACCACCACCTCCGCCGCGCACCCACCACCACCGCCACCACCACCACTACCAACCGCCCACCACCGCCGCCACCACCACCACCGCCACCCACCCATCACCACTACCACCACCGCCACCCACCCACTCCTCTCCACCCCCCCGCCACTACCAACCGCTCGCCACCACCACCACCCCCCACCAGACCGCCCGCCCCTCACTCCGCATCGTAACCACAATGGCCCTCCTTCACCACTGCCGCCCCCCCCCTCCTCCTCACCACTGCCCCCCCCTCCCCTCCTCACCACTGCCCTCTCCTCCTCACCACTGCCCCCTCCTCCTCCTCACCACTGCCCCCTCCTCCTCCTCACCACTACCGCCTCCTCCTCACCACAATGCCCCCCCCTCCTCACCACTGCCCCCCCCTCCCCCTTCACCACTGCCCTCTCCTCCTCACCACTGCCCCCCCCCCTCCTCACCACTACCGCCTCCTCCTCACCACAATGCCCCCCCCTCCTCACCACTGCTCCCCTCCTCCTCACAGCGTTCATTACCAAACCGCCGCCGCGATGCTTTGTGACGATGCCGACGCCACCGCCGGCCGCCCGCCCGTCGTGTTTGTTCCGCCAGGAGGACGCCGGAGCCGCCGAGACTTTGTCGTCCGCCGAGCCCGGCGAGCGCGGAGTGGAGTCGCTGGCGAGCGAGGACGACGGGGACACGGCGCCGCCTTCAGCCACCGTCATCGTCGGCATCGGCGGCGTCGTCGTCATCGCTGCCGACGACGACGCTGGAGGAGGTGGAGGGGCGGAGAGCGCCGACAGCGCCATCGCGGTGCTCACCGACACTGAAGAGAAAGACGACGCGCACGACGCGGCCATGTCCAGGTTTGTTGTTTGGGGGGACGTGAGGGATTCTGGGTTCTGTCAGCGGTGACAGTGGGAGGGCGAAGCGCGCGCCGGTCGGTGTACCGGTGACGTCACCGGTATACGGGGGCGCTGCGGTGGCTAGGAGATGTTGACTACCTCGCCTGGTATGCAGGAGGTCGTGGGTTCGAACCCGACGCTGACGCCTGCTGCTGTATATTTGGAGTTTGCGTCTCTCTCTCATCATCACGGTGGCTAGGAGATGTTGGCTACCTCGCCTGGTATACAGGAGGTCGTGGGTTCGATCCCGACCCTAATGCCTGCTGCTGTATATTTGGAGTTTGCGTGTCTCTCTCTCTCTCCGTGGTGAGATGTTAACTACCTCGCCTGGTGTACAGGAGGTCGTGGGTTCTATCCCGACCCTGACGCCTGCTGCTGTATATTTGGAGTTTGCGTGTCTCTCTTTCTCTCCCCGTAGTTGCGTGGATTTCTTTGCGGGTCCTCCGTTTTTTTCCCTCCACATTTAGAAACAACGTCACGTGTATTTGGCTACCGCTTTAAATTTCGAGCGATGAATTGTGGGCAGGTCGCTTCTGACAAAGGGCTACGTAGCTCAGTAGGTCATCACCGTCATCACCACCACCATCCCCACCACTCACCCAAAGCCACATCGTCATCGTCACCACCACCATTACCATCATCATCATCACCACCATCCCTACCACTCACCCAAAGCCATATCGTCATCGTCACCACCACCATCATCATCATCATCACCACCACCATCCCCACCACTCACCCAAAGCCACATCGTCACCACCACCATTACCATCATCATCACCACCACCATCTCCACCACTCACCCAAAGCCATATCGTCATCGTCACCACCACCATTACCATCATCATCACCACCACCATCCTCACCACTCACCCAAAACCACACCGTCATCGTCACCACCACCATTACCATCATCATCACCACCACCATCCCCACCACTCACCCAAAACCACACCGTCATCGTCACCACCACCATTACCATCATCATCATCATCACCACCACCATCCCCACCACTCACCCAAAGCCATATCCTCATCGTCACCACCACCATTACCATCATCATCATCACCACCATCCCCACCACTCACCCAAAACCACACCGTCATCGTCACCACCACCATTACCATCATCATCACCACCACCACCATCCCCACCACTCACCCAAAGCCATATCGTCATCGTCACCACCACCATTACCATCATCATCACCACCATCCCCACCACTCACCCAAAGCCATATCGTCATCGTCAACACCACCATTACCATCATCATCATCATCACCACCACCATCCCCACCACTCATCACCACCTAACCCTCACCACACTGTCACCACCAATGGCATCGTCACCACCGTCACTTCCGCTGCGTCACGGCTATGACCGCCACCACCACCGTCACCACTTCAGGTCACTCTTGCAAATGGGACTGCATCCCAGTTTTTTGAGTTCTCATCCGGTGAAACACCACCGTCACCTTCTTGGTTCTTTATTATTTTATTACTTCCCTTCTACGTGGCTTTACCGAAAGAACCAATAAGATGAATCCCTGCAGTCACCGCCGCCGTCCGCGTCACCTCCTTCTCGCCCCGGCAGCAGCGGACAGCGTCAGTGACGGCGGCATCATCGGCGTCACCGGCGTCGGCGTCACCGTCACCGCCGACGACGCGGATCAGCAGCAGCAGCGGCGGGATGAGGAGGAGGAGGAGGAAAGCCTGCGGGAGGCCCGACCCGCGACGCCACCGCCGTCGCCATTTTTCTCGGCGATCCTGGCCGCGTTCCAGCCACCGCCCAGCGGCGGTAGCGCCGAAGAGGCTTGGCGCCTTCACGCAGCCGGCGTGCTGTCCGACCAGGACGGCACATGCGCCGTCCACACCTTCCAGCTGTTCTGCGGACTCTTCCGGGTGCGGTGATCTCGCCCCCCCCCCCCCCCCCCCTCACTCTGCCTCGTCGTCGAGTCGAATAGGATCCTCGCCGATGAAACGATTCGTATAATGTTCTTAGGTTTTTTTTTCGGTAAAGTCACGTAGGTAAAAAATTAAAATTGATCAAAGTAAAATAAAAAATAAAATAAAAATCACGACGTTTCGGAGGCAACACAAGCTTCCGTCTTCAGGTGGAACCGTCACAGCAATACATCAATCCGTGCTGTGACGGTTCCACCTGAAGACGGAAGCTTGTGTTGCCTCCGAAACGTCGTGATTTTTATTTTATTTTTATTTTACTTTTATTCATTTTTATTTTTTACCTACGTGACTTTACCGAAAAAACCTAAGAATATGAATCCTTGCAGTCACGAAAGCTTCAAATCTAGGGATTCGTATAATCACTCGGCAAAGTTCAGTGATGATGACGACGACGACTATGGTAGATGTCGTGATGAATGTAGGCTCCTGAATATAATTGTCTTCTTCCACTGGAGGTGGCATCTACGCTAGGCCACACACAAGCAAACATCGCCACCCTCCTGGCTGACTAGCGCACAGGGGCAGCTGCTACTGGGGGTGCCCCTTTTCAAGCGTGAAATGCAGAGATGCCTCGGTGTAAAGGTGCAACACGGTTGTGAGATGTTGTTAACTACCTTACTTGGTATACAGGAGGTCGTGGGTTTGACCCCGACCCTGTATATTTGGAGTTTGCGTGTCTCTCTCCCCGTGGTCGCCGTGGAGTTTTCTCCACATTTAGAATCGACGTTCGTTTAAAGTGTTTGTCCGCTGTAAGTTTCCACGCGACGATGAGTCACCTCGTCGAGCGGACAGAAGAGCTGTGCTGCTCAGTGGACCTTACCTGGTAATACAAACACAATTGTTTGGTAGTTTAGTTTAAAGGAGGGGGGGGGGGCGGTCCTCTCAGAAACACAACTCTTAGCGATTACAATTTTTGTCGCAATCGTCACCGTCGCAATCGTCACCCTCGCAATCGTCGCAATCGTCGCAATCGTCACCCTCGCAATCGTCGCCCTCGCAATCGTCGCAATCACCGCAATTGTCGCCCTCGCAATTTTCGCCATTGCAATCCTTGCAATCCTCACCCTCGCAATCGTCGCAATCGTCACCCTCGCAATCGTCACCCTCGCAATCGTTGCCCTCGCAAGTGTCGCAATCGTCACCCTCGCAATCGTCGCAATCTTCACCCTCGCAATCGTCACCCTCTCAATCGTCGCAATCGTCGCCCTCGCAATCGTCGCAATTGTCGCCCTCGCAATCGTCGCAATTGTCGCCCTCGCAATCGTCGCAATCGCAATCGTCGCAATCGTCGCCCTCGCAATCCTCGCAATCGTCGCCCTCGCAATCGTCGCCCTCGCAATCGTCGCAATCGTCGCAATCGTCGCAATCGTCGCAATCGTCGCACGGATCGACGTCGCAACTCGGCCATCGCCGTTTGCCACATCCTCCCCTCTGCCCGCAGAACGTCCGACGGGGATTTTGCTCGTTGACGCACGACGCCAGCAGCTACCTGGGCGACAGCCTGCACGGCATGGGCCCCAGATTCACGAGCTCCGCATGTGTGCTGCTCTCCTCCTCCGAGTGCCCCACCGTGTTCATCGACGCCGACACGGTGCGCCGCACTCACCCTCAACGCCACACTCACCCTCACCGCCGCACTCACCCTCACCGCCACACTCACCCTCACCGCCACACTCACTGCCACACTCACCCTCACCGCCACCCTCACCCCCACACTCACCCTCACCGCCACACTCACCCCCACACTCACCCTCACCGCCACACTCACCCTCACCGCCACCCTCACCACCGCCACACTCACCCTCACCGCCACACTCACCCTCACCGCCACACTCACCCTCGCCCTCACCGCCACCCTCACCCTCACCGCCACCCTCACCCTCACCGCCACACTCACCCTCACCGCCACCCTCACCCTCACCGCCACACTCACCCTCGCCCTCACCGCCACCCTCACCCTCACCGCCACCCTCACCCTCACCGCCACACTCACCCTCACCGCCACCCTCACCCTCACCGCCACACTCACCCTCACCGCCACACTCACCCTCACCGCCACACTCACCCTCACCGCCACACTCACCCTCACCCTCACCGCCACCCTCACCCTCACCGCCACACTCACCCTCACCGCCACCCTCATCCTCACCGCCACACTCACCCTCACCGCCACACTCACCCTCACCGCCACACTCACCCTCACCGCCACCCTCACCCTCACCGCCACCCTCACAGCCACACTCACCCTCACCGCCACACTCACCCTCACCGCCACCCTCACCGCCACACTCACCCTCACCGCCACACTCACCCTCACCGCCACACTCACTCTCACCACCACACTCACCCTCACCGCCACCCTCACAGCCACACTCACCCTCACCGCCACACTCACCCTCACCGCCACACTCACCCTCACCGCCACCCTCACCCTCACCGCCACCCTCACAGCCACACTCACCCTCACCCTCACCGCCACACTCACCCTCTCCGCCACACTCACCCTCACCGCCACACTCACCCTCACCGCCACCCTCACCACCACACTCACCCTCACCGCCACACTCACCCTCGCTGCCACACTCACCCTCGCCGCCACACTCACCCTCGCTGCCACACTCACCCTCACCGCCACACTCACCCTCACCACCACACTCACCCTCACCGCCACCCTCACCGCCACACTCACCCTCACCGCCACCCTCACCGCCACACTCACCCTCACCGCCCCCTCAACCGCCACCCTCACCGCCACACTCACCCTCACCGCCACCCTCACCGCCACCCTCACCGCCACACTCACCCTCGCCGCCACCCTCACCCTCACCGCCACCCTCACCCTCACCGCCACACTCACCCTCACCCTCACCGCCACACTCACCCTCACCGCCACCCTCACCGTCACCCTCACCCTCACCGCCACCCTCACCCTCACCGCCACCCTCACCTTCACCGCCACACTCACCCTCATCCTCACCGCCACACTCACCCTCACCGCCACACTCACCCTCACCGCCACCCTCACCCTCACCGCCACACTCACCCTCACCACCGCCACCCTCACCCTCACCGCCACACTCACCCTCACCGCCACACTCACCCTCACCCTCACCGCCACCCTCACCCTCACCGCCACACTCACCCTCGCCCTCACCGCCACACTCACCCTCACCGCCACCCTCACCCTCACCGCCACACTCACCCTCACCGCCACACTCACCCTCGCCCTCACCGCCACACTCACCCTCACCGCCACACTCACCCTCACCGCCACACTCACCCTCACCGCCGCCCTCACCCTCACCGCCACACTCACCCTCACCGCCACACTCACCCTCACCGCCACCCTCACCCTTACCGCCACACTCACCCTCACCGCCACACTCACCACCGCCACACTCGCCCTCACCGCCACCCTCACCCTCACCGCCACCGCCACCCTCACCGCCACACTCACCACCGCCACAATCGCCCTCACCGACACCCTCACCGCCACCGCCACCCTCACCGCCACACTCACCACCGCCACCCTCACCGCCACCCTCACCGCCACACTCACCGCCACCCTCACCGCCACACTCGCCCTCACCGCCACACTCACCGCCACCCTCACCCTCACCACCACACTCACCCTCACCGCCACCCTCACCCTCACCGCCACACTCACCCTCACCGCCACCCTCACCACCACCCTCACCGCCACACTCACCCTCACCGCCACCCTCACCACCACCCTCACCGCCACACTCACCCTCGCCACCACCCTCACCCTCGCCCTCACCCTCACCGCCACACTCCTCCGTCCCATCACTCGTCCTCCTCATCGTCGTCGTTGTCTTCCCCATCATTCTGTCAGTGTCCTCACTCTTGCCTCTCCCTCCTCCCTCCTTCTCCTCCTCCTCCCTCCTCCTCCCTCTTCCTCCCCCCTCCTCCCCTCTCCTCCTCCCTCCCCCCTCCTCCCTCCCTCCCCCCTCCTCCCCCCTGCTCCTCCCTCCCTCCCCCCTCCTCCTCCCTCCTCCTCCCTCCCCTCCTCCTCCCTCCTCCTCCCTCCTCCTCCTCCCTCCTCCTCCTCCCTCCCCCCTCCTCCTCCCTCCCTCCCCCCTCCTCCTCCCTCCTCCTCCCTCCCCCTCCTCCTCCCTCCCCCCTCCTCTCTCCTCCTCCCTCCTTCCCCCTCCTCCTCCCTCCCCCCTCCTCCTCCCCTCCTCCCTCCCTCCCCCTCCTCCTCCCTCTTCCTCCTCCCCTTCTTCCTCCTCCCTCCCCCCTCCTCCTGCTCCCTCTTCCTCCCCCTCCTCCTCCCTCCCCCTCTTCCTCCTCCTCACTCCTCCCTCCTTCTATTCCCGCTCAGTGCCTCACTCTTCCTCATCATCATCATCACCATCCTCTTCCTGACCACCTCCTCACCATCCTCTTCATGACCATCTTCCTCTTCCACCTCCTCACCCTTCCCAGCCTCGGTTTGCATTCAGCGCTAAAGGCTCAGCCTGATAAATAAACTAAACTTAAACGATTATTATTTTAACCAGGTAAGGCACACTGAGCTGCGTAGCTCTCTTTCAGAAGCCACCTGGCCATCACGTGGAAATTGCGGCCAAATGCTGTAAACGCGAGATGTTGATTCGGAGAAAAATCCACGCGACCACGGGGAGAACGTGCGCTCGGAGTAATTGTGTTTAGTTTGTTAACCTTCCCCCGCACCTTCGATTAGCACGGTTGACTGCCCACGGTGCAAAATAAATTCAACATGCGTGCGTGGGCTCGAACTCACGACCTCCTGTAGACCAGGCAAAGTCGTTTACATCTCCCCACGGGGAGAGAAACATGCAAACTCCAAATATACAGCAGGCGTCAGGATGCAACCCCTGACCTCCTGTATACCAGGCAAGGTAGTAAACATCTCATCGTGGGCAGAGTGAGAAATTGACACCACAAACTCCAAATATACAGCAGGCGTCAGGGTCAGGGTCAGGATTGAACCCACGACCTCCTGCATACCAGGCGAGGTAGTTAACATCTCACCACGGGGAGAGTGAGAGAGACGCAAACTCCAAATATACAGCAGCAGGCATTGTCAGGGTAGGGATCGAACTCACGACCTCCTGTAGACCAGGCGAGGTAGTTAACATCTCACCACGCAGAGAGAGAGACACGCAAACTACAAATATACAGCAGGCGTCAGGATCAAACCCCTGACCTCCTGTATACCAGGCAAGGTAGTAAACATTTCATCGTAGGCAGAGCGAGAAAGAGACACCGCAAACTCCAAATATACAGCAGCAGGCATCAGGGTCGGGATTGAACCCACGACCTCCTGTAGACCAGGCGAGGTAGTAAATATCTCACCACGGGGAGAGCGAGAGACACGCAAACTCCAAATACACAGCAGCAGGCGTCGTCAGGGTAGGGATAGAACCCACGACCTCCTGCACACCAGGAGAGGTAGTTAAAATCTCGCCACGGCGCCACGGAGAGAGAGAGAGACACGCAAACTCCTAATATACAGCAGCAGGCGTCAGGGTCGGGATCGAACCCACGACCTCCTGCATACCAGGCGAGGTAGTTAACATCTCGCCAATCATTTCCCGAATTCCCGGATCTCCCCCTCACCCCGCCGCCCCCCCCCCCCTTCCACGGAAGTGTGGACAAACCCCGGTCGCTCATCCGCCCCTCCCCTCTCGCTCTGCCGCCAGCTGGTTTCCTGCGGCCTCCTGGAGAAGATGAAATTCGGGGTCCTGGAGCTGCAGGAACACCTGGACACGTACGGGAGCAGGCGCGACGCCACACAGCAGGTGACCCCCTGCGCACACAGCACCCTGCTAGCCCTCTACCAGGTCTTGATGCAGCTAATCTGGCTGTGACGGTCCCACCTGATGACGGAGACTTGTGTTGCATCCGAAACGTCGTGATTTTTATTGTTTTATTTAATAAAAATAAAATAATAAAAATTAAACATAATAAAATAATTCTCACGACGTTTCGGCCACAACACAAGCAGCCGTCCTCTTCCCTTCTTGGTTCTTTATTATTGTATTACTTCCCTTCTACGTGACTTTACCGAAAGAACCAAGAAGATGAATCCCTGCAGTCACGAAAGCTTTAAATCGAAATGTTTTATTTTTGTTAATTTTTAATTTCATTTTTTACCTACGTGGTGACTTTACCGAAAGAACTAAGAGTATGAAGGCTCTCATCCCTCGTTGGCTCGGCCTACGCTCACAACCGCGACTCATTGGCTGCGTCGTGCCTGATGCTGATTGGCTGAATTTCGATTTAAAGCTTCTTTCGTGACTGCAGGGATTCATCTTCTTGGTTCTTTCGGTAAAGTGACGTAGAAGGGAAGTAATAAAATAATAAAAATAAAACATAATACAATACAATTCTCACGACGTTTCGGCCACAACGCAAGCAGCCGTCCTCAGGTGGAGAACAAGTCTGTTGTGGCCGAAACGTCGTGAGAATTATTATATTTTTATTATTTTATTATTTCCATTCTACGTGACTTTACCGAAAGAAATAAAGAAGCTGATTGAGCAGCAGGCACGGCCCCGTGCCTGCTGCTCATTGGCTCATTCTACACTCACAACCGCGACTGCCTCTTGCCCCAACAATCTGTGCAGGCTATACGGGGGATCGTTGTCTTTGTGGCCGTAAAAATAAGTGTATAATAGGCGACGTTTCGGGCAACGACCCTTCTTCACAGCGCGTAGATAAGGCCGGAAAGTTCACGGGTGACTCTTCATGACGATTGTGTTGTACGCCGTGGTGGCTAAGAGATGTTAACGACCTCGCCTGGTATACAGGAGGTCGTGGGTTCGATCCCGACCCTGACGCCTGCTGTGTTTTTCGAGTTTGCGTGTCTCTCTCTCTACGTGGTGAGATGTTAACTACCTCACCTGGTCTACAGGAGGTCGTGGGTTCGATCCCAACCCTGACGCCTGCTGCTGTATTTTTCGAGTTTGCGTGTCTCTCTCTCTCCGTAGTGAGATGTTAACTACCTCGCCTGGTGTACAGGAGGTCGTGGGTTCGATCCCGACCCTGACGCCTGCTGCTGTATTTTTCGAGTTTGCGTGTTTCTCTCTCTACGTGGTGAGATGTTAACTACCTCACCTGGTGTACAGGAGGTCGTGGGTTCGATCCCGACCCTGACGCATGCTGCTGTATATTTGTGTTTGAGTGTCTCTCTCCCCGTGGTCGCGTGGATTTTTCTCCGCGTCCTCCGGCTTTCCCTCCACATTTAGAAACACGAGCTTAAGAATATTTTGACCGACCAATAAATTTCCATGTGCTGATAAGCCTCTTCGTTGAGGTATCGTTTGTGAAAGTCAGGTCACTGAAAAATAGCTACATTGTAGCTGAGTGGCCTTTCCTCGTAAAATATCTACATTTCCCATAAATATGCTAAATTACTCTTGATATGCAAATTATTTTGTCAAGGCGCTCTTCCTCCTCCAACCCAGCTTAAATATACGCTGCCAAGCCTGGTGGTGATTCATTCAGACGCTGTCTTTCCGACAGACCTGTTCTTCACCTGAGGACAGCTGCTTGCGTTGTGGCCGAAACGTCGTGAGAATTGAATTTTATTATGTTTTATTTTTATTGTTTGATTACTTCCCTTCTACGTGACTTTACCGAAAGAACCAAGAAGATGAATCCCTGCAGTCACGAAAGAAGCTTTAAATCGAAAAATATAAATAGTTTTAGTTTCGTAGTTTATTTTGCCCTTAGCCATCACAGTAAGATTCTCTCCATCTCAAGCGAGTTTTTTTTGCCAGTGGAATATTTGAATAACTCTTTAATTCAGGGGTCCATAACCCCCGGACCGCAGAGTTCACAACCGGGTACCCAATACCCGTACCCTACCCGATACCCGGCTACCCGTACCCGGCCGAGTACGGGTACCCGTTTGCGACCCTGGTGCGGCCGGGTACGGGTACGGGTAGGCCGTGAGTCACTGGTGAGTAACCGTTTGTCACTCATTTCCCAACGTCTTGTCTCTTCTCACAATTCAAGTTCCTAGAATCAACCCACCCGCGCCTGCAACATGGCTTCATCCCAGAGGTCGCAATCGGGTACCCGGCCGGGTACGGGTAGGGTACGGGTACGGCCAGGTACGGGTCGCCGTTTGCGACCCTGGTGCGGCCGGGTACGGGTAAGGAATCAAAACCCGTTTGTGACCTCTGGTCCGTGCGTGGCCCCCCGCCCCGTTGATTTATTATTGACCACTTCCGTCCGTGCCTCTTACCCGCGCTTGTCTCAGTCACGGTGTTGGTAAACCCACAAGCTGCTAACCCCTAGTAGCCACAATGAGTAGACAAACAAACGTCGTCCGTGAAAAAATGATTGTCTTCCACGAAACGGGATCCTGGCGCCAAAAAGGTTTTGGACCGCTGCTTTAATTTGATTGATGACAGCCCTGCATGATGCAATAGCTTACATTTATTGCAATAGTCCAGACGCTCCGTTTCATTTCAATGTTTCGAATAGCATGCACACATATAAACTAGATATATATTTTTTTAAGCCTTGAAACACATTCCTGCGGAGGGAGCTGGTAGGAACGTTGGGTTGCTCGGTCAATGACCTGCAGGGTCAACGGCGGCGTGGTGTATTCCGCAAATATGCCCGACTGTGAGGGCGGGCACAAGCCGGCGTGAGTAGGTTAAACGTTGAGTTTTATAAGGGCACCACGGGGTGACCAGCCCCTCCCCACCCAGCCCCACCCCTCCCAACCCCCACCCAGCCCCACACTCCCCACCCAGCCCCTCCCCACCCTCCCCACCCAGCAACCCTCCCCACCCTCCCCTCTCCACCCAGCCCCACCCTCCCCTCCCCACCCCTCCCCACCCTCCCCACCCAGCCCCTCCCCACCCTCCCCTCCCCACCCAGCCCCTCCCTCCCCACCCAGCCCCTCCCTGCACGACGGACGGACACAATAATCCCCTGTGGGCTGGTGTAACCAGGAGGTTCCTATCAGTAATATATTCCTTATATATGTGTTGAACGTGCAAAGAAGCATGCAAAAGAGATGCACGCCTCAAATTACGCTGTGAGACAGGATGGGGAAACAACACGTGGATTCGAGACCACACGCAGGGTGGAGACATCGTCACATTGATCTGCATCCAGCAGTGGATAGAGCGTGGGTGATGGTGGTGATGATTACCAATTCCTACGCCGAGATTTATTTCCTGACAATATTTCTGGGGTTTTATCTCGGGAGATATTTCATTTGGCTAAACGGAAGAGATTTCCCGAGCGCCAATAATATTACTTTATTGGTTTTAAGATGCGATAGACAGGATGGATGTGCATGACAATGCGTGTCTGGTGGTGGTGGGGGAGGAGGAGGCTCGTGAAGGACGCTGATGCTGGGCAAGTTGGAGGCAGTCGCCCTCCAGCAATAACGGAGGGTGGAGCAGCGACGCTCGCAACAACGAGCGGAGCGCCGGGCGGCTCAAACGCAGCGAGTTGGCACAATAGGGGGCACAGGTGGTGCATCTGCCAGTCGTCATCTCAGTCGACCCGTGGCACCTGCTGGGTCTGCCCCGTGACCTCCTGCACCTAGCCTGGCACAGTAGTGGGCACAGGTGGTGCACAACAGGCGTCGTGAGGGTCGGGATCGAACCCACGACCTCCTGTAGACCAGGCGAGGGAGTTAACATCTCACCACGGAGAGAGAGAGAGACACGCAAACCCCAAATACACAACAGGCGTCGTCAGGGTCGGGATCGAACCCACGACCTCCTGTAGACCAGGCGAGGTAGTTAACATCCCGGCACCCCGATCTGGCCGCTCTGCGTGACGAGATCGTTCCGGGGCCTAACTCAGCAGGCCGTATCCGAATATCGGGTTTATTTATCCTGGAGAAATCCGAAGAGCTAGGACGCTCTGTGTTCTTGTGACTCGTACCTGACCTCAAAGAGGAATTGGCCAAACGTGTCCCAGTGTAGAAACTCCTAAAAATAGAATGGTCTTGAATCTTTCTCGAGCAGACGGATAAATACATTTAACACGTTGTAAGGCTTTCGCGACCAATATTATTCATGATGAAAGTGTTTGGGTTAAATCGCGTTATTTATAAATGTGTCGTAACCCTCCACCACCCGACACGGCCAATCAGTAAAAAAGTGTCACGTTGACAAAAGACAAAATAGTTCATTCTAGATTTGAAGCTTTCGTGACTGCAAGGATTCATATTCTTAGGTTTTTTAGGTAAAGTCACGTAGGTAAAACATCAAAATTAATAAAAATAAATAAAATAAAACAAAAATCACGACGTTTCGGAGGCAACACAAGTCTCACTTGATGCAGCTAATCCGGCTGTGACGGTCCCACCTGATGACGGAGACTTGTGTTGCCTCCGAAACGTCGTGATTTTTTTTAATTTTATTTATTTTTATTAATTTTGATGTTTTACCTACGTGACTTTACCGAAGAAAACCTAAGAATACAAAAAAGTGTCACTGCTTTAGCCCACCGGTGTGTTGAAGAGTGAAACCACAACATTTACAGTTTTTGAGTACCACGTTTCGCTGGTAATTGCATCCAGTATCATCGGACAAAGCAGTGAACTATTTTGTCTTTTATATTCTTGGTTCTTTCGGTAAAGTCACGTAGAAGGGAAATAATAAAATAATATTCATATCAAAAATACATTTTCTTGCCGTGGATTTCACACCTGATGATGATTGCTTGTGTTGCAATCGAAACGTCGTGAGAATTTTTATTGTTTTATATTTTTATTATTTTATTATTTCCCTTCTACGTGACTTTACCGAAAGAACCAAGAATATGAATCCCTGCAGTCACGAAAGCTTTAAATCGAAATTTAATTTGTCTTTTGTCAACGTGACACTTTTTTTGCTGATTGGCCGTGTCGGGTGGTGTGGAGGGTTACGACACATTTATAAAGAATAACGCGATCTAACCACAAAACACCTTGATTATGGATAAATAAATTACATCGGTGCCACCGCCAAACATTCGGCGCCCGGCACCAGATCAGCAAAGCGTGGTGGGGGGGAGAGAGAGCAGACAGATTGACGATAGGCTTGACGAATGAATTAATGAATGAGTGAGTGGCTGACAAGAATCATGAATGTGTGGGCCGAGCGAGCTAGCACTGTGGCTTCTGACGGACCGCTAGCGCCAACAAACAAACACACAATGTGTCACCGCTGGCATATCCTTAGGTTTTTTCCGCTCAAGTCACGTAGGTAAAACATTAAAATTAATAAAAGTAAAATAAAATAAAAATCACGACGTTTCGGAGGCAACACAAGCTTCCGTCTTCAGGTGGAACCGTCACAGCCACGACAGCTGTATCAAGTGAATGAGAGATTGCAGGACCCAGCAGGTGCCACGGGTTGACCGCTGGCATTTCGCGAATCTGAAACGAGCCCTCCTGCGTCTCTCGCGATGCAACCTTGTCACAGCCGTCCCTGTTTTTATTTTTCGTGGGAGGGGTTGGGTGGTTGGGGTGCCAGGGGGTTTATTCACTCGCCCCCCCCCCGTCTCTGTGTGTGTGTGTGTCACTCTCCCGGCTAGACCCTGAGAGTTTCATGGTAATAACCGGTGGTGGCACGTCACGCGCTCAGCCGCGGCTGTCACAGGTTGTGCCACGTGGTGCAGCCGCGGTGTTTGTAGACAAACCGTCAAGCTGGGGGAGTGACAGCGGTAACATTTAGACGTCTACCTCCTCACCCCCCCCTCTTCATCGCTCCCTCCTCACCCCCCCCTCATCCCCCCCCCTCATCCCTCCTCCTCACCCCCCTCCTCCTCACCCCCCCTCCTGACCCTCCCTCCTCACCCCCCTCCTCACCCCCCTCCTCACCCCCCTCCTCACCCTCCCTCCTCACCCCCCCCCTCCTCACCCTCCCTCCTCACCCCCCCCTCCCTCCTCCTCCTCGACTCACATCGAGACGAGGGGTAATTGATAATGGGGTTGTGGGGGTGTATACCTGATGGCATTAGCGGGTCTCATAACACAGATTTGGCGAGATCATTTGACGTGGCCTCTTCATGATTCTGGTGGTGGTTGTTGTTGTGATTCCGCTCGTTCACCCGAGAGAGTCTCACCGGAGTCCCAAGACTTCTTTTGTGAGGGTCCTGCCAGGTTTTCCACGGTCGGAGGGACAGCAGTTGCTGCTGCTACTGCTGCAAGTGTAGTTAGCCAGCACACGAGGGGGCGGGTGGCCAGCACCACGCCCGGCCGCCTTTGTCTCCCCATTTATTGTGAAAAATTTCGGTCACAGTTCCTATGATCACTGTGACATTGCTTTAATGGCTTTATTTTGGTGATTTCGAAAAGTTTTTTGGTGTGGCCATGTTTGTTTGTTGTACTACGGAGTTAGACTAATGGCCTTAATCTAAGTTGTCTTGTTTGTTGTTGTTGTTTGACTTGCATCTCACTAGGATTTTTGCACACAGCGTTGGTGTACGGCGCTTTTTCTGGAAGATTTTGCTGTTTTTTCCTGGATTTTCTGTTTGCGCATAGTCACTTTAAGATGTTTTCTTGTTCATGTTTTTTTTTTGCATCCGATTCAAGAGCCGAATGGCTCACAGGGCCATACCAAATAAATGAGACTGAAATAAATGAAACTGAAAACTGAAAAAGCAGCTACGCACGGCGCAAAAAAGCTCAACATACACACGCGCACACCCACCCGTGTCGGCCCGACCCAGAAGTCAGCGACACATCTCAACATCGGCCACGCACCGATGATGCCCCTCTTCCTCCACCTGTGCAACGTGAACTACGTTGGTTTCTCACACGCCCACTGTTGCTTCTTTGCCGCCCACCCCCTCCCACTCCCCCCGCTCACCCCGTCTCAGTGGCTCAACGACTGCAAGAGAACCTTCGTGGCTTGCGGCCAATCGGAGGAGATGACGGGCGGCGTGATAACCAGCCAGCCAATCGGCTGCAAGGAGAAGGTACAATCGAGACGGCTGGAAGGCAGCGGCAGTTGTGAACGGCGGTGGACACAAGCAGAATGATTTATGTGGCAGCGCGGGGAAAGTTGCTGGGTTCAAGTCCTGGGGCTTTGCGTGTGTGTCTCTGTCTCTCAAGGGGTTCACAATGGTTGTGTCGGAGACACTGAACCGGTACCGCTAAGGCGCTGGGTTCAAGCCCTGTGCAAGGGCACAGGAATTAGTGGCCGGGTCACGCAGAAGGGCAGCGGGGGAGGGATGGGAAGGAGTGGAGGGGGCGAGGGGAGGGAAAGAGGAAGGGAATGGGCGATGGTGGGCAGGAGGTGAGGCTTTGAGAGGGGGACAGGAAGGAGGTGAAGGAGGAGGACTGCTTCATGTACAGGGGTGGTGTTGAGTCTGTGGTGTGGTGTTGAGTCTGTGGTGTGGTGTTGAGTCGATGGGCAGTGTTGAGTCTGTGGTGTGGTGTTGAGTCTGTGGTGTGGTGTTGAGTCTGTGGTGTGGTGTTGAGTCGATGGGCAGTGTTGAGTCTGTGGTGTGGTGTTGAGTCTGTGGTGTGGTGTTGAGTCTATGGGCAGTGCTGAGTCTATGGTGCAGTGTTGAGTCTATGGGCAGTGTTGAGTCTATGGGCAGTGTTGAGTCTATGGGCAGTGTTGAGTCTATGGCCAGTGTTGAGTCTATGGGCAGTGTTGAGTCTATGGGCAGTGTTGAGTCTATGGGTAGTGTTGAGTCTATGGACAGTGTTGAGTCTATGGGCAGTGTTGAGTCTATGGTGTGGTGTTGAGTCTATGGGCAGTGTTGAGTCTATGGGCAGTGTTGAGTCTATGGGCAGTGTTGAGTCTATGGGCAGTGTTGAGTCTATGGGCAGTGTTGAGTCTATGGTGTAGTGTTGATTCTATGGTCAGTGTTTAGTCTATGGGCAGTGTTGAGTCTATGGTGCAGTGTTGATTCTATGGGCAGTGTTGAGTCTATGGGTAGTGATGAGTCTGTGGGTAGTGTTGAGTCTATGGTGCAGTGTTGAGTCTATGGGTAGTGTTGAGTCTATGGGTAGTGTTGAGTCTATGGGCAGTGTTGAGTCTATGGGTAGTGTTGAGTCTATATGCAGTGTTGAGTCTATGGGTAGTGTTGAGTCGATGGTGCGGTGTTGAGTCTATGGGTAGTGTTGAGTCTATGGGTAGTGTTGAGTCTATGGGTAGTGATGAGTCTGTGGGTAGTGATGAGTCTGTGGGCAGTGTTGAGTCTATGGGTAGTGTTGAGTCTATGGGTAGTGATGAGTCTATGGGTAGTGTTGAGTCTATGGGCAGTGTTGAGTCTATGGGCAGTGTTGAGTCTATGGGTAGTGATGAGTCTGTGGGCAGTGTTGAGTCTATGGGCCATGTTGAGTCTATGGAGCAGTGTTTAGTCTATGTGCAGTGTTGAGTCTATGTGCAGTGTTGAGTCTATGGGCAGTGTTGAGTCTATGGGCAGTGTTGAGTCTATGGGCAGTGTTGAGTCTATGGGCAGTGTTGAGTCTAATGTGCAGTGTTGAGTCTATGGGCAGTGTTGAGTCTATGGGCAGTGTTTAGTCTATGTGCAGTGTTGAGTCTATGGGCAGTGTTGAGTCTATGGGCAGTGTTGAGTCTGTGGGCAGTGTTGAGTCTATAGGCAGTGTTGAGTCTATGGGCAGTACGAACGCCCCTCATGAGTAATTTGTTAGCTGACGCCCGCAAACGACCAATCGTCGCTTTGTAAAGTCGTCATCGCCGCCGCGGCCAAATCATCGTCGGGGTCATAAGTTGAAATCCAGGTCAGGGTCATTGCCCTCCCTGGGGAACCGTTCAACGGCGATTGATCCGTGGAGAGACCGGGACCCCCGCCATAGTAACGTGGAATTTACAACGCTGGCTCCTTGCCCCCAATGGGCGGATGAGTGCCGCCCCCTACTCGAGAGAGCAGAGGACGATCTGTGAAACATTAATCATCTAAATTGGCCGGGTGTCTGTTGTATATGTCGGGTTATGAAATTTTAACAAAAATAATAAAAATTAAATGAAGATTGGAAAAATGCGTAGATCGCATAAATTATGCTAATGTATGTAATTATATGCATATATTATGATAATCATGGAGATAATCGTGGGTGGTTCTTCATGGCCGTGTCAGAGACGCTGAGCTGGTGCCGCTCTGGGTTCCAATCCAGGTTTTGTCCCCAACCACAGCGATTACACCTCGGTCTCATAGACCCACACAGAGACCCGCAGACCCACACAGAGACCCACAGGCTCACACAGAGACTCACAGACTCACGCAGAGACCCATAGACTCACGCAGAGACCCATAGACTCACACAGAGACCCGCAGACTCACATATAGACTTACAAACTCACATAGAGACCCACAGACTCACACAGAGACCCATAGACTCACACAGAGACCCATAGACTCACACAGAGACCCATAGACTCACATAGAGACCCATAGACTCACACAGAGACCCATAGACTCACACAGAGACCCGCAGACTCACACAGAGACCCACAGACTCGCATAGAGACCTACAGACTCGTACAGAGATCCACAGACTCACACAGAGACTCACAGACTCACATAGAGACTTACAGACTCGCAGGCTCACTCAGAGATCCACAGACTCGCATAGAGACCTACAGACTCGCATAAAGACTCACAGACTCACACAGAGACCCACAGACTCACACAGAGACCCACATACTCACACAGAGACCCATAGACTCACACAGAGACCCATAGACTCACACAGAGACCCACAGCCTCACAACAGACACCCATAGACTCACACACAGACCCATAGACTTGCACAGATACCCATAGACTCGCACAGAGACCCATAGACTTGCACAGAGACCCACAGACACCCACAGACTCACATAGATTCACACACAGACCCATAGACTCACAACAGAGACACCCACGGACTCACAACGGAGACCCGCGTAGACACGAGCTGCGATCAAAGCGGGTTGCTTAGCGTCGCGTCGAGGGCGACGTTTCGTCGGCTGAGCTGACGCTGCTCCTCGGTTTCCTAGGGCACGGGCCTCAACGTGCCGTGGCTCTCTCTGGGGCCAGCCTGGCGCGGGGGAGGGAAATTACATTAGCCTTTCATTTAATCAGCTGGGGGCGGCGGGGGGAGGGGGGGGGATTGTGGTGGGGGGGGGGTTGGTGGGGGGGGGTTGGTGGGTGGGGGGGTGGCGCACCACTCCGAGAGATGAGCTTCGGGTTTATCGATCGGCCGGGATATTTACGGCCGACAGAATCCGTCTCGGGCTGTTTAACCCCTTTGGGGGGGGTGGTGGGAGTGTGTGTGTGTGTGTGAGACGCGCGCTAGCAGCTGACGGCCTACCGTTAATACAAAGGGACCTGGGTTCGAGACCTGCCCGTGGCGGGGCTGGGTGGGTTGGGGGGGAATTTAAAATCGACGTGTCGGAGACACTGAAACGGAACCGCTAAGGTGCTAGGTTCAAATCCTGCGGCTTTGTGTGTGCGTCTCTGTCTCTCTCTCTCTCAAGGGGTTCACAATGGTCGTGTCGGAGACACTGAAGCGGTACCGCTAAGGTACTGGGTTCAAGCCCTGGGGCTTTGTGTGTGCGTCTCTGTCTCTCTCTCTCAAGGGGTTCACATTCGCCGTGTCGGAGACACTGAAGCGGGACCGCTAAGTTACTGGGTTCAAATCCTGGGGTTTTGTGTGTGTCTCTCAAGGGGTTCATAATGGTCGTGTCGAAGACACTGAACCGGGACCGCTAAGTTGCTGGGTTCAAGCCCTGGGGCTTTGTGTGTCTCTCTCAAGGGGTTCATAATGGTCGTGTCGGAGACACTGAACCACTACCGCTAAGTTGCTGGGTTCAAATCCTAGGGCTTTGTGTGTGCGTCTCTGTCTCTCTCAAGGGGTTCACATTCGCCGTGTCGGAGACACTGAAGCGCTACCGCTAAGCTGCTGGGTTCAAGTCCTGGGGCTTTGTGTGTCTCTCTCAAGGGGTTCACAATGGTCGTGTCGGAGACACTGAACCGGGACCGCTAAGGTGCTGGGTTCAAGCCTTGCTACGTCCATGATAGCCTTGTTGCTGTAGGAATGATAGCGGCAATACAGCATGTATGTACATCATTGTTGCTGTTGTTGTTAACATAGCAGTAACACCGAATGTCTATACATCATTGTTACTATAGCGGCAACAACGACTGTATGTACATCATTGTTGCTGTTGTTGTTAGCATAGCAGTAACACCGAATGTCTAGACATCATTGTTACCATAGCGGCAACACCGACTGTATGTACATCATTGTTGCTGTTGTTGTTAACATAGCAGTAACACCGAATGTCTATACATCATTGTTACCATAGCGGCAACACCGACTGTATGTACATCATTGTTGTTGTTAACATAGCAGTAACACCGAATGTCTATACATCATTGTTACCATAGCGGCAACACCGACTGTATGTACATCATTGTTGCTGTTGTTGTTAACATAGCAGTAACACCGAATGTCTATACATTATTGTTACCATAGCGGCAACACCGACTGTATGTACATCATTGTTGTTGTTAACATAGCAGTAACACCGAATGTCTATACATCATTGTTACCATAGCGGCAACACCGACTTTATGTACATCATTGTTGTTGTTAGCATAGCAGTAACACCGAATGTCTATACATTATTGTTACCATAGCGGCAACACCGACTGTATGTACATCATTGTTGCTGTTGTTGTTAACATAGCAGTAACACCGAATGTCTATACATTATTGTTACCATAGCGGCAACACCGACTGTATGTACATCATTGTTGCTGTTGTTAACATAGCAGTAACGCCGAATGTCTATACATTATTGTTACCATAGCGGCAACACCGACTGTATGTACATTATTGTTATTATTGTGACTGCAATATCGGAAACACCGATCGAACTAAATGATAATCATTCACATCTTTGTGCCATTCAACGTGCGGGGTCAAAGGGGAATTCCGTGAAGGAGCTGTCAATGTCCTCCTGCTGCGTCGTCTCTGCGGTCCGCTTATTCGATTCCACGTTGAGGAAACGGCGCGTTTGCTTAGAGGGTCGGGTGTGTGGGGGAGCCCCTGGCTGGATGTCAGGGTGGGTCAGCGTTGCGGTTTGCGGGTTGTGGGACCTTACCGTTGCGTCTCTCGCTCGCTTTGTCTCTCTCTGTGGTTAGGGGGCTTCGCTCGTGGTCTGGGGAGGGCGTGGGTTCGAGTCCGGTTCTGGGACTGACTTAGTAGCTCTACTTTCATCTTCTTGGTTCTTTCGGTAAAGTCACGTAGAATGGAAATAATACAATAATAAAAATCAAACATAATAAAAAATTATTCTCACGACGTTTCGGCCACAACGCAAGCAGCCGTCCTCAGGTGGAGAAGACAGAGTCTGACTCTTGTCTTCTCGATTTTATTATTTCCCTTCTACGTGACTTTACCGAAAGAACCAAGAAGATGAATCCCTGCAGTCACGAAGGAAGCTTGAAATCGAAATTTAACCAGCTCTACTTTCCTTTGGGGTCATGGTTCGTATTGGGTTCGGGGTTAGCGTTGAGTTAAGGTTAGGATTGGGTTCGGGGTGAGTATTGGGTTCGGGTTAAGACTGTGTCGGGGTTTGTGATTGCGTTAAGGTTTGGGATTGGGTTAGAGTTTGTGTTGGATCACTATCAACATTGGGTTAAGGTTTAGGATCGGGTTAGGGTTTAGGATTGGGTTAGTGTTTAGGATTGGGTTAGTGTTTAGGATTGGGTTAGGATTTCGAATTGGGTTCGGGTTTAGGATCGGGTTAAGGTTTAGGATCGGGTTAAGGTTTAGAATTGGGTTCGGGTTTAGGATCGGGTTAAGGTTTAGAATTGGGTTCGGGTTTAGGATCGGGTTAAGGTTTAGAATTGGGTTCGGGTTTAGGATCGGGTTAAGGTTTAGGATCGGGTTAAGGTTTCGAATTGGGTTAAGGTTTAGGATCGGGTTAGCGTTGGCGTTGGTCACACGCACATGACGCACGCGTCTTTTACATGACGCACGTGTGTTTTACATGACCCACGCATCGCAGTGGCACGCGCGTGCGTCACTGCAATGCGCAGCGTTTCCGTCCCGTCTTGCCTTTCAATGACGTTAATGGCTCCTCCGTCGATCTGTTTTCCGGGATTTGGCGCTGTCACGCGGTAAAATCGGACACCCGGCGAAAATTAACCGATCGGCGATTTGCCCGTATAATAATAATCAAAAGTGGGGCGTGTGACCCAGCCCCATTGTGTGGTCTTGCGGAACCCGGATCGAGGTGTTCCGATCGCGTTAGATTCCGCTCACGGTCGATGCGACAAGCACGTGTCAAGGGTCACCGATTTAAATTTCGATTTAAAGCTTCTTTCGTGACTGCAGGGATTCATCTTCTTGGTTCTTTCGGTAAAGTCACGTAGAAGGGAAGTAATAAAATAATAAAAATAAAACATAATAAAACAATTCTCACGATGTTTCGGCCACAACGCAAGCAGCCGTCTTCACCTGAGGGCGGCTGTTTTATATTTGTATTATTTTATTACTTCCCTTGGTGAACATGTCCTCGTGTGAAACACGCCCCCCCCCCCTTTGTTTGATTGACTAACGACCAGAGGTCACAAACGGGTTTTGATTCCTTACCCGTACCCGGCCGGGTACAGGTAGCCGTATCCTACCCGTACCCTACCCGAAATGAGTGACAAACGGTTACTCACCAGTGACTCACGGCCTACCCGTACCCGTACCCGGCCGGGTACGGGTAGCCGGGTATCGGGTAGGGTACGGGTATCGGGTAGGGTACGGGTATCGGGTAGGGTACGGGTATCGGGTAGGGTACGGGTATCGGGTAGGGTACGGGTATCGGGTAGGGTACGGGTATCGGGTAGGGTACGGGTATCGGGTAGGGTACGGGTATCGGGTAGGGTACGGGTATCGGGTAGGGTACGGGTATCGGGTAGGGTACGGGTATCGGGTACTCGGTTGCGACCTCTGCTAACGACCACTCGTGATCGGCTAATTGCTCGCAGTCCGTTTCCGCAGCACTGCCCGATGTTTGGCCGAATGGCCCCGACTCGCTCGCTCACTCATTCTCTCGTTCTTTTCTTCTCTCAATTCCTTATCCTCTCTCTCTCTGTCTGTCCTCTCTCTCCGTTCCTTCCCACCCCCCCCTCACCCCCCCTTCTTGTTTACTTCTTACGCTCGTGCTAAGAACTTGGAATCGCTAGCAGTAAGTACGGATGATTCTACTGTGCCTCTCCCCCTCCTTTCACAATTGACCTCCCGCAAACCCCCCCCCCCCCCCGCCGCTTTTCCTATCTGTGTGTAGGCTGTATGTTCTCCCGCTGTTCTGCATGGCTTTCCTCCGGGTGCTCCGGTTTTTCCTCCTCCCGTAGCCGAAGTAAAATGCCCGTCGTACGATGGAGCCTCTATCGGGCCCAAAAACAAACGCGCAAAAACGTCCCCGACGCCGGAGAAAATCACGACGCTTGGAGGTCGCAGGTCACTCGGTTGGCGTGGCAACATCATCGTCGTCCCCTTCACCGCGGAAACCCCACCGCAGCCCGTGATGGCAGCCTTTTGTGCCGCACTGGGGCAGCTGCCGCTGGGGGTGCCCCTAGGCTAGACCACCAGCATCGCCACCGATACTGCGGAAACTACCGCAGCCCGTGTGTTGTGAAACACAGCGGCGCCTTGCTCCGTGACGACAGCCATGTGTGCCGCACTGGGACAGCTGCCGCTGGGGGTGCCCCTAGGCTAGACCACACAGCGGCAGCGGCAGCATCGCCACCGCTACTGCGGAAGCTGCCGCAGCGTCAACCTCTGTGGACGACCGCCTTGCGCCGCGGGAACGACGGTGTTGTGTGGTATACAGCGTGACGGTGATGTGTGGTGTACAGCGTGACGGTGTTGTGTACAGCGTCACGGTGTTGTGTGGTATACAGCGTGACGGTGATGTGTGGTGTACAGCGTGACGGTGTTGTGTACAGCGTCACGGTGTTGTGTGGTATACAGCGTGACGGTGATGTGTGGTGTACAGCGTGACTGTGTTGTGTGGTATACAACGTGGCGGTGTTGTGTACAGTGTGACGATGTGTGGTATACAGCGTCACAGTGTTGTGTTGTGTACAGCGTGGTGATGTTGTGTACAGCGTCACGGTGTTGTGTGGTATACGGCATGGCGGTGTTGTGTACAGCGTGACTGTGTTGTGTGGTATACAGTGTGACGATGTGTGGTATACAGCGTGGTGGTGTTGTGTACAGCGTGACGATGTGTGGTATACAGCGTGGCGGTGTTGTGTGCAGTGTGACGATGTGTGGTGTACAGCGTGACGGTGATGTGTGGTGTACAGCGTGACTGTGTTGTGTGGTATACAACGTGGCGGTGTTGTGTACAGTGTGACGATGTGTGGTGTACAGCGTCACAGTGTTGTGTGGTATACGGCGTGGCAGTGTTGTGTACAGCGTGACGGTGTTGTGTGGTATACAGCGTGGCGGTGTTGTGTACAGCGTGACGGTGTTGTGTGGTATACGGCATGGCGGTGTTGTGTACAGCGTGACGGTGTTGTGTGGTATACGGCATGGCGGTGTTGTGTACAGCGTGGCGGTGATGTGTACAGCGTCACAGTGTTGTGCGGTATACAGTGTGACGATGTGTGGTATACAGCGTGGCGGTGTTGTGTACAGCGTCACGGTGTTGTGTGGTATACAGCGTGGCGGTGTTGTGTACAGTGTGACGATGTGTGGTATACAGCGTCACAGTGTTGTGTGGTATACGGCGTGGCGGTGTTGTGTACAGCGTGGCGGTGATGTGTACAGCGTCACAGTGTTGTGCGGTATACAGTGTGACTATGTGTGGTATACAGAGTGGCGGTGTTGTGTACAGCGTCACAGTGTTGTGTGGTATACAGCGTGGCGGTGTTGTGTACAGCGTGACGGTGTTGTGTGGTATACGGCGTGGCGGTGTTGTGTACAGCGTGGCGGTGATGTGTACAGCGTCACAGTGTTGTGCGGTATACAGTGTGACGATGTGTGGTATACAGCGTGGCGGTGTTGTGTACAGCGTCACGGTGTTGTGCGGTATACAGTGTGACGATGTGTGGTATACAGCGTGGCGGTGTTGTGTACAGCGTCACGGTGTTGTGTGGTATACGGCGTGGCGGCGATGTCGAACGGTGCACAGCGTGACGGTGACGTGCTGTGCGCAGCGTGGCGATGTGTGGTATACAGCGTGACGGTGACGTGCTGTGCGCAGCGTGGCGATGTGTGGTATACAGCGTGACGGTGACGTGCTGTGCGCAGCGTGGCGATGTGTGGTATACAGCGTGACGGTGACGTGCTGTGCGCAGCGTGGCGATGTGTGGTATACAGCGTGACGGTGACGTGCTGTGCGCAGCGATGCGATGTGTGGTATACAGCGTGACGGTGACGTGCTGTGCGCAGCGATGCGATGTGTGGTATACAGCGTGACGGTGACGTGCTGTGCGCAGCGTGGCGATGTGTGGTATACAGCGTGACGGTGACGTGCTGTGCGCAGCGATGCGGCGGGTGTCATCCACCGTGTTGTCTACGGTGTCGTACGCTTAGGTTGTTTCGGTAAAGTCACGTAGATAAAAAATAAAATAAATACTAAAAATACTAGAAAAAATAATAGAAATAAAATAAAATCACGACGTTTCGGAGGCAACACAAGTCTCTGTCATCAGGTGGGACCATCACAGCTAAGATGGTGTCTTTCGATTTCAAGCTTCTTTCGTGACTGCAGGGATTCATCTTCTTGGTTCTTTCGGTAAAGTCACGTTGAAGGGAAATAATAAAATAGTAAAATAATAAAACATAATAAAATACTAAAATAAAACATAATAAAATACAATTCTCAAACATAATAAAATACAATTGTGAGAATTGTATTTTATTTCGATTTAAAGCTTTCGTGACTGCAGAGATTCATCTTCTTGGTTCTTTTGGTAAAAATAAAACATAATAAAATATTTTATTATAGAATGGAAATAATAAAATAATAAAAATTTACATAATACAATATTTTATTATGTTTTATTTTTATTTTATTATTTCCATTCTACGTGACTTTACCGAAAGAACCAAGAAAATAACAAATTTCGTAGCAAATTTTTTGGTGAGCGAACGATCAAAAGGGGGGGGGGGGGTTGGTGGTTGGGCTTTTACCCCTTTCCAGATGCTTCATTTTGATAGCAGCGGGCAAAAAATTAATAATCTGGGCGATGCGTGTGTCAGCGGTGAACCGGGCGCGTTTTTAATAAAATCTCTCGTCCGCCAACGTTGGAGCTGTTCCTCACGCGGCTTCTCTCCTCTCCCCCGTCCCACCCCCACCCCTCTCCCATCCCGGCCCCCCCCTCCCCCCAGCAAATGGAGTTGTGCCGAAGGCTGTACAAACTCCACTTCCAGTTTCTGCTGCTTTTTCAGTGTTACGCCAAACTGACGGGCAGCCTTGAGGTGCTACGCTCCAACCCCACGGTGAGCTGTCGCCACGCGCGCGCGCACCGCCTGCACCACCACCGCCACTGCCACCACCGCCTGCACCGCCACCACCACCACCACCGCCTGCACCACCGCCACCACCACCGCCGCCTGCACCACCACCACCACCGCCACCACCACCACCACCGCCTGCACCACCGCCACCACCACCACCGCCACCACCGCCTGCACCACCACCACCGCCACCACCGCCACCACCATCGTCACAATGACCGCGGCAGCACCACCATCACAATCGCCGCCACCGCAATCACTGCCATCGCAATCACTGCCACCACCAACAATCACTGCCATCACGATCTCTGCCACCACCAACAATCACTGCCACCATCACCGCCACAGTCACAATCACGGCCACCACCACCACAATTACCGCCACCCACTAAAATCACCACCACCACAATCACCACCACAATCACCGCCACCACCACCACAATCACCGCCACCACCACCACCGCCACCACCACCACCACAATCACCGCCACCCACTAAAATCACCACCACCACGATCACTGCCACCAACCATCGCCACCACTACAATCATCGCCACCACTACAATCATCGCCACCATGATCACTGCCACTAACCACCATCACCGCCACCACAATCACCACTGTCACAGTCACTGCCACCACCAGTATTACTGCTACCACCACCACCACCACAACACCACTACCGCTACCGCAATGGCCACGATCGCCGCCACCATCACAACCGCCGACTCCGCTATCGCGGGTCGACCGAGAACCACCATCTGGGCTCGACCTACGGATAGAGACTCGTCCCACCCGCCCCGTAGGAATGTGGAATTTCCACCACTGTCTCTACGGGGCCGCGAAACGCACGAGCCCCAAGACAACTGCTCTTTGGTTTTTTTTTTGCGGTTTCTATTTGTAATCCCCGCCACCGCCGCCGCCGCCGCCCCTTCGCCTGTCCCGTCGAGTCAACGCTGACGGGAAACAGGACCGCCTTGGCCCGTAATGTCATTACCTGGACAGTCCCGTTTAGGGCCGGAGCCGCAACCTCGTTAGCTTGCGTCATTTCCTTCGGGGGGGGGGGGGGGGGGGCCTCTGCCGAGATGCGTAACACGATCTCGGCGTCGTAATTTCCCCGCCGCCCCCCCCCAGAGGAATAGGCGGACAACGCTTACGCACGCGCTGGTTCGCTTGCTAGCTAGCGAGTGCTTACGCACGCACTCGCTAGCTAGTGCTTACGCGCTCGCTCGCTCGCTAGCGCTTACGCACGAGCTGCGTGCGACTACAACGGCTGCCGTTGTGGGCTCGTGCGCGTGTCGAAACTTCTTTCGCGCCATACAAAGGCGACCTAAATTTCTAATTTAAAGCTTCTTTCGTGACTGCAGGGATTCATCTCCTTGGTTCTTTCGGTAAAGTCACGTAGAAGGGAAATAATAAAATAATAAAAATAAAACATGTAATTAAAAAAAACACTATAAAATAATTTATTTTAATAAAATAATAAAAATGTTTCATTTTTATTATTTTATTATTTCCCTTCTACGTGACTTTACCGAAATAACCACGAAGACAAAGGCGACCTAGCTAGAGGGTGGTGGCGGCGGGGACTGGGCGTGGAGAGGGGTGGGGGGGGAGGTCAACAAACTAAAAGGCAAACGCAAACAACTGCCGTGTAACTCCTACCGGGGACGACTGCCACCACGTTCACCGTGAACGTCACGCGTCGATTCCTCCGCGGTCTGTGCCACGCGCTCACCGTCCCGTGCACCACCCGCACACTCTCGTCTAGCCTAGGGGCTCCCCCGGTGGCAGCTGTCCCTGTGCGTCAGTCTGCCAGCAGGGTTGCGATGTTGCTGCTGCTGCGTCTAGCCTAGGGGCGCCCCCGGTGGCAGCTGTCCCTGTGCGTCAGTCTGCCAGCAGGGTGGCGATGTTGCTGCTGCTGCTGCGTCGTCTAGCCTAGGGGCGCCCCCGGTGGCAGGATGCCCCGAGGGACAGGGATGAGACGGTACGGGACAGGGAGGACAGGACGGGGGAGGGTTTGGTATGGGGGAGATGGGATGGAGGGGGGAGGAGGGATGAGCGCAAGGCAGTAAGTGGCAGCCTCGGGGGGGGATCTCAAGGAATCAAGGGAGGAGAGAGCTCCATTGTGCGCGTGACACGGCGGTTTAGTCTCAAGACGGGTGGCCTCGGGGCTGTCCTGTGCATGCATCATCCCTTTAAACCCGCAGACTTACCACCCACTCACTCACCCACCCACCCACTCAACCACCCACTCACCCACCCACCCACTCACTCACTCACCCACTCACTCACCCCCCACCCACTCACTCACCTACCCACTCACTCACCCACTCAATCACCCACCCACTGACCCACCCACTCACTCACTCACCCCCCACCCACTCACTCACCCACCCACTCACCAACCCACCTACCCACTCACTCACCCCCACCCACCCACTCACTCACTCACTCACCCACTCACTCACTCACTCACCCCCCACCCACTCACTCACCTACCCATTCACTCACCCACTCACTCACTCACCCACCCACCCACCCACTCACTCACCCACTCACTCACCCACTCACCCACCACCCACCCACTCACTTACCTACCCACTCACCCACTCACCCACCACTCACTCACCCACCCACTCACTCACTCACCCCCCACCCACTCACTCACTCACCTACCCACTCACCCACTCACTCACCCACCCACTCACTCACCCACCCACTCACTCACTCACTCACCCACCCACCCACCCACCCACTCACCCACCCATCACTCACTCACCACCCATTCACTCACCCACCACTCACTCACCACCCACTCACTCACCCACTCACTCACCCACTAACTCACTCACTCACCCACCCACTCACTCACCCACCCACTCACCCACCCACCTACTCACCCACTCACTCACCCACCCACTCACCCACACACCCCCCTACCCACCCACCCACCCACCGACTCACCCACCCACCCACTCACCCACCCACCCCCACCCAAGTGGACTGTGGTTAATGTGGCTGAGTCTCCCAAGGCAGCGTAGTGGGGGGCGTGTGACACGCGACGAGCTGGTCAAGCCCCTTCCATTAAGCGAGCCTGCCGCTTTGTTTGTATCGCCCCGGGGGCTTGTTGCAGAGAGTGTGAGTCTGTGTGTCTCTGTGTGAGTCTGTGGGTCTCTATAAGTCTGTGAGTCTCTGTGTGTGTCTGTGAGTCTCTGTGGGTCTCTGTGTGAGTCTGTGGGTCTCTATAAGTCTGTGAGCCCCTGTGTATGTCTGTAAGTCTCTGTGTGTCTCTGTGTGAGTCTGTGGGTCTCTGTGTGAGTCTGTGGGTCTCTGTGTGAGTATGTGGGTCTCTGTGTGAGTCTGTGGGTCTCTGTGTGAGTCTATGGGTCTCTGTGTGAGCCTGCGTATCTCTGTGTGAGTCTGCGGGTCTCTGTGTGAGTCTGTGGGTCTCTGTGTGAGTCTATGGGTCTCTGTGTGAGTCTATGGGTCTCTGTGTGAGTCTGTGGGTCTCTGTGTGAGTCTATGGGTCTCTGTGTGAGTCTGTGGGTCTCTATGAGTTTGTGAGTCTCTATGAGTCTCTGTGTGAGTATCTCTTCCCCCACACCTCCTCACCCCCCCCACCTAACCCCCCCACCTCCTCACCCCACAGCTCACGGACGTGTCCACGGAGCTGGCGGAGCTCCACTGCGGCCTGCGCGTCGCCGCGGTGGCTGCGGACGCGGCTGACGGCGCCACGCTTGCGCGCCTGGCGGCACAGCCGGTGCTGTGCCCCGAGGACGCGGTGGTGGCGCTGCTCGACTCTCTGCGCAACCGCGAGCTCTACGCGGCCCTCCTGCAGCTCAAGATCTCCAGGTTTCCCACCGCCACCTTCGCAGCTAGCACCTCCTTCATCAGAACCACCACCACATCTACCACCACCACCTTCATCAGCACCACCACCACCTCCACATCTACCACTACCAGCACCATCACCACCACCACCTTCATCAGCACCACCACCACCTCCACATCTACCACCACCTCCATCACAACCACCACCACCTCCTTCATCACCACCACCACCGTCCACCTCCTCCTGCACCACCACGACCACCACCACCTCCACATCTACCACCACCTCCAGCACCATCACCACATCCTCCAGCTCCTCCACATCTACTACCTCCTCCACCACCTCCAACCACCACCAACCACCACCTCCTGCACCACCACCTTGTCCAGCGTCACCTCCGCATCCTCCTCCACCAGCGTTACCACCACCGCGGCCAGCACCACCACCTCCTCCATCACCACCACCTCCTCCATCACCACCACCTCTCTACCACCACCTCCTCCATGATCACCACAACTACCTCCTCCATCACCACCACCGCGTCCCCCCCTCCACCACCACCTCCATCACCACTACCACCTCCATCACCACTACAACTACCTCCTCCATCACCACTGCCACCTCCATCACCACCACCACCTCCATCACCACCACCACCTCCATCACCACTACAACTACCACCTCCATCACCACTACCACCTCCATCACCACTACAACTACCTCCTCCACCACCACTACAACTACCACCTCCACCACCACTACCACCTCCATCACCACCACAACTACCACCTCCATCACCACTACAACTACCTCCTCCACCACCACTACCACCTCCACCACCACTACCACCTCCATCACCACCACAACTACCACCTCCATCACCACTACAACTACCACCTCCATCACCACTACAACTACCACCTCCATCACCACTACAACTACCTCCTCCACTACAACTACCACCTCCACCACCACTACCACCTCCATCACCACCACAACTACCTCCTCCATCACCACTACAACTACCTCCTCCACCACCACTACAACTACCACCTCCACCACCACTACCACCTCCATCACCACCACAACTACCTCCTCCATCACCACTACAACTACCACCTCCACCACCACTACCACCTCCATCACCACCACAACTACCTCCTCCACCACCACTACAACTACCACCTCCACCACCACTACCACCTCCATCACCATCACAACTACCTCCACCACCACCACCTCCTCCATCACCACTACCACCTCCATCACCACTACAACTACCTCCTCCACCACCACCTCCTCTACCACTACCACCTCAATCACCACCACAACTTCCTCCTCCACCACCACTACAACTACCTCCATCACCCCCTCCACCACCACCACCACTACCTCCTCCATCACCACCACCACTACCTCCTCCACCACCACCACAACTACTTCCTCCACCACCACCACCACGTCTCCCCTGACCGTGTGTGTCTGTGCGCGTGTGCAGGGCCACGTGGCCTGCCGACGTGTTCGGCGCTCCGGACGACGACGAGGTGGTGACGCTGCTCGGCATGCGCTTCCGCCACGCCACGCTGGGCCAGGCCGGAGCCTTTGCGCTGGCGCCGGTGTCGGCGTCGCCGGCGTCGTCGTCTTCGGCGGTATCGGCAGCGTCGCCCGGTGACCCGGCTCACCTCGCCTGCGCCAACCTCATGCAGCTCAACATGCACGTGCAAGAGGCACTGCGTCACGTGCAGGCCTCTAGCTTCTACCCGCAGCAGCAGCAGCAGCGCCAGCAGCAGCAGCAGCAACAGCAACAGCAGCAATCCCATGAGCAGCAGCAGCAGCATGAACTGTATGAGTTACAGCAACAGCAATACCAGGAGCAGCAGCAGCAGCAGCAGCTGGAGTTGCATTATCAGCAGCAGCAGCAGCTGCAGCAGCATCATCAGGAGCAGCAGCAGCAGCAACAGGAAGAACAGGAGGAGGTCGTTTATCAACAGCATGATCAGCAGCAGAACGATCAGCAACAGCATGATCAACAGCAGCTGCAGCAGCAGCTGCAGCAGCAGCATCAGCTTCATGATGATGTTGTTCAACAACACCAGCAGCATCAGCAGGAAGATGATGATCGTGCGACGGAGATGGTGGGAGAAGATTTGTAGTAACGCTGTACCAAGCGAGCGCTGGCTTACAGCTGCAGCAGCAGCAGCAGCTACGGCTGCAGTAGCAGCAGCAGCAGCAGCAGTAGATGTAGTATCTGCAGCAACAGCGGGAGATTTCATTATCAGCAGCAACTGGAAGAACTTATATTGACAGAGATGTTTGGAGAAGCTTCAGTAATGCTGTTAAAAATCTAGCTTCATACCTGCAGCATCATCAGCAGCATCATCATCATCAGCAACAACAGCAGCAGCAGCTTCATCTCCAGCATCATCAGCATTATAAGAAGCATCATTGTCAGCAGAAAGCTTAATCATAACGAGCTGCAGCTGTAGCAGATTCAACATCATCAGCAGCAGCAGCAGCATCAGCGGAAAGCTTCATCATCACCATCATCAGCGACAGAAGCTTCAATAGCAGGAGCATTTAAACAAGCTTCGTCGATCGATTGTTTTATTGAGAGGTATACGCACTGAACCGCAAAGCCGAGCAAAAATAATTTAACGAAATAATTTATCTCATTTTTTTCACATCGGTAACTTTCGTTCACACTCTATCCCCGGCTCCGCTGTCAAAGTCGCGTCGTCGCGACAAATATCCTCCGTGCAGACCCTCTCTCGCCGATTAGTGCGTTGGAAAACGGCCCGCACAAGCGGATATTACAGAGCTAACGTCTGAGATCTCCTTCAAGTGACGCTCCGGTCCATGCACAGAACGACCCGCAGAAGCGGATATCACAGAGCTAACGTCTAAGATCTCCTTCAAGTGACGCTCCGGTCCACGCACAGAACGACCCGCAGAAGCGGATATCACAGAGCTAACGTCTGAGATCTCCTTCAAGTGACGCTCCGGTCCACGCACAGAACGACCCGCAGAAGCGGATATCACAGAGCTAACGTCTAAGATCTCCTTCAAGTGACGCTCCGGTCCACGCACAGAACGACCCGCAGAAGCGGATATCACAGAGCTAACCTCTGAGATCTCCTTCAAGTGACGCTCCGGTCCACGCACAGAACGACCCGCAGAAGCGGATATCACAGAGCTAACCTCTGAGATCTCCTTCAAGTGACGCTCCGGTCCACGCACAGAACGACCCGCAGAAGCGGATATCACAGAGCTAACGTCTGAGATCTCCTTCAAGTGACGCTCCGGTCCACGCACAGAACGACCCGCAGAAGCGGATATCACAGAGCTAACCTCTGAGATCTCCTTCAAGTGACGCTCCGGTCCACGCACAAAACGGCCCGCAGAAGCGGATATCACAGAGCTAACCTCTGAGATCTCCTTCAAGTGACGCTCCGGTCCACGCACAGAACGACCCGCAGAAGCGGATATCACAGAGCTAACGTCTGAGATCTCTTTCAAGTGACGCTCCGGTCCACGCACAGAACGACCCGCAGAAGCGGATATCACAGAGAGCTAACGTCTGAACATTTTAGCGGCACGTCTTTTAATCGCTCGGTCAACGTCGACCGAGATGACACCGTTTAGCTCGCGACGCTTGAGGAACCGAGTTTTTAATCGCAACTCGGCGACCGTGACCCGGATTCGAACCCAGGTCCTCAGCGGTTACCGGCTCTGAGTCGCTTGACCTCCGAGCCACCCGGCCGCGTCAGAATAATATGAATGAACTGAACTGCAGTTAACTAAACAAAACAAAAATACATTTTACCAGGTAAGGCCCAACTGACCTACTACGTAGCCATTTATCAAAAGCGACCTGGCTCTCACAAATGATAACGGAGTTGCTTATTATCATCATTATCATCATCATCATTATCATCATTACCGCATGGACATTTATAGCAGCAGTCGAATATTCTGAACGCGAGTTTATAAATGTGGAGGGGGTATAAGACCGGAGGACCCGAAGAAAAATCCACGCCAACACAGAGAGAGTGAGACACGCAAACTCCAAATGTACAGCAGCAGGCGTCAGGGTCGAGATCAAACCCACGACCTCCTGTATATCAGACGAGGTAGTTAACATCTCCTAGCCACCGTGATGATGATGAGAGAGAGAGACACGCAAACTCCAAATATGCAGCAGCAGGCGTCAGGGTCGGAATCAAACCCACGGACCCCTTGCGTACCAGGCGAGGTAGTTAATATTTCCTAGCCACCATCACGCCCCCCGCCCACCCCCCATCTTATTAAAATTTAAATCTAAAACCTCGTTATTGTGCAACTAACTACACACGCAGGGCGCGTGGGGGGGGGGGGACCCTTTTTGCCGGCAGACGCCAAATTGGACGCAGCAGCAGCGGCGGCGGCGGTCAAAGCGGCAAGAGCAGCAGCCAGAACCGGCGCTGCCATCAATTGCCCGTGCTCCAGAGGTCGCAAACGGGTTTTGATTCCTTACCCGTACCCGGCCGCACCAGGGTCGCAAACGGGTACCCGTACCCGTACCCGGCCGTACCCGTACCCTACCCATACCCGGCCGGGTACGGGTAGGGTACGGGTACGGGTACCCGATTGCGACCTCTGGGATGAAGCCATGTTGCAGGCGCGGGTGGGTTGATTCTAGGAACTTGAATTGTGAGAAGAGACAAGACGTTGGGAAATGAGTGACAAACGGTGACTCACCAGTGACTCACGGCCTACCCGTACCCGGCCGCACCAGGGTCACAAATGGGTACCCGTACCCGGCCGGGTAGCCGGGTATCGGGTAGGGTACGGGTATCGGGTACCCGGTTGCGACCTCTGCCGTTCCTCCTGTCGTCCCTGTACCGCGAGTGTTTCACTTCTTGACGTGAGAAGGACACTGGAGTGCCCCCCCCCCTGCGCGCACGAGGAGAGGGATCGTAACACTGATGAATCCCCCTTCACAGATGGACGTCGGGCCCCCCCTTGCCTCTCCCGCCATCGTCTCACTGCCAAGCCGGGGAGATGTGGCAACCTCGGCTCCCGCGTGTTAGGGGAGCGGAGAGAGGGTTTGATTTGTACGTGATCCACCACCACCACCCCCCTCCTCACTGCCTCCACGGTGCAGAGTTGGGAGGCAAAGTGCGGCACAGCCACCGTCGCTGATGATGATGCCGATGATGATGATGATGCCGATGACGCTGATGACGATGCTGCAGATGATGATGATGCTGATGATGATGCCGATGACGATGCTGCCGATGATGATGATGCTGATGACGCTGATGAAGATGCTGCCACCGATGATGGTGATGATGATACCGATGGCGATGCTGCTGATGATGCTGATGCTGATGACGATGCTGCCGATGATGATGATTCCGATAGCGATGCTGCCGATGATGCTGCCGATGCTGATGACGATGCTGCCGATGATGATGCTGCCAATGATAATGACGATGATATCGATGATGATGCTGCCAATGACGACGCTGCCGCAGAACGCTTATCGCCCATCGTCAGCCGTCGCCAGGAGATTGAAACGCAAGGAGCGGAGGATTAACGGAGGCGCGACGAAAAACGTGGAACTCGCTGTGTTAGGAGCCACGGTGCAACACGGCCACCGTCGCTGATGCCGCCGATGCCGATGATGCCGATGATGCCGCCGATGATGACGCTGCCGCAGAACGCTTATCGCCCATCGTCAGCTGTCGCGACGGGATTGAAACGCAAGGAGCGGAGGATTAGCGGACGCGCGACGAAAACTTGGGAGCTCGCCGAAGAGAGATGATCGCAAGGAGGAGCGAGATTGCGAGCTGAGAGCGGAGCGAGCGAGAGAGAGACACTCGGACCAAAACCCTTTGGGAAAACTCCCTGCATTGACGAGCTGACGCAAGTTGACGGGCTTCCCGCTCCGATCGATCGGTCGATGGGAAAGTTGGGAACGTTCGTAATGACGATTTATATTTTTTGGGGGGCGGTGGGAGAGTGGGGGGGGGGGGGCGATTCTCGGTGTTTTGAAAACGCTCGCCGCGTCACCGCGCTCGGACGAGCCTCTGGCCACCGCCGGCGGTACAAAACGAAGAGCACTTGCATCAGGCCAAGGGCCTCCTCCTCCTGTTCTCGCCCCGTGAGGTGTGACGCTCTCGCGCGTAATTCTCTCGCTGAGAGCGCCGAGAGGAGGAGAGTGGGGGCTTCGCGCCCCAATAGTTTCTTCCGGCGGCGTTCTGACGTCTTTTTTTTTGTGGTCTCTGAAACAGAGAAGTTAATGACGATGTCGTGTTATTGTAACGTAATTGTTTTTTTTTTGCCGTTACCTTGCTCACGAGATTTACGCAAACGCGTCATTTTAGTTGCGGGGGGGGGGTCTGCGGTGCGGTGGGTGTGGTGAGTTGGGTGTGTGGATGCGGTGGGTGTGTGGGTGGGTGTGTGGGTGGGTGGGTGTGTGCGGTGGGTGGGGATGGTGGGTGTGTGGGTGCAGTGGGTGGGTGTGTGGGTGGGTGTGTGGGTCCGGTGGGTGTGTGGGTGCAGTGGGTGGGTGTGTGGCTGTGTGGGTGTGTGGGTGTGTGGGTGCAGTGGGTGCAGTGGGTGGGTGTGTGGGTGCGGTGGGTGTGTGGGTGCGGTGGGTGTGTGGGTGGGTGTGTATGTGGGTGGGTTGTTTGGGTGGGTGGGTGTGTGGGTGCGGTGGGTGGGTGGGTGTGTGCGGTGGGTGTGTGGGTGGGTGGGTGTGTGGGTGGGTGTGTATGTGGGTGGGTTGTTTGGGTGGGTGGGTGGGTGTGTGGGTGCGGTGGGTGTGTGGGTGCGGTGGGTGTGTGGGTGCGGTGGGTGTGTGGGTGTGGTGGGTGTCTGCGGTGTGTGTGGGTGCGGTGGGTGTGTGGGTGTATCTGTCAATCCAGTGGGGAGCGGTGGTGCAGCGGTTAGCGCTACGCTGCGCTACGAACCCGGCGACTAGAGTTTGATGCCCGTTCACGGCCAACACCGGCCGACAATTATCTCAATCGGTCCTGACCCTCCCCTAGGTCGACTCGGCCTCAAATGAGTACCCGGTGTGTGTTAAACATCACCACTGGGGAGACAAAGGCGGCCGGGCGTGGTGTTGGCCACCCACCCCCTCTTGAGCAGCGCCATCCCTCATAGGTGCTCGCTAACAGCACTTGCCCCAACAGTCTGTTTCAGTGCTACACGGCGGGGGATCTTTGTCTTCGTGTCAATCCATTCCACGCAGGGATTTGAGTTTCTCAATCCGTCGTGTCCCGGGTTTTAAGGATATTTTCGCCGGCGAGCGGCCAAAAGCGGCGTGACACTGGCCGACCGCCTCTGCCGCGGACCGACCGCTTAGCCGAGGGCTCGGAGAGTCAGTGGGGCCCTGTAGTCACAGCAGCAGCAGCAGCATTAGCAGCGTGTCGCATCACAAGCTGTAGCAGCATTAGCAGCAACAGCGTCTTGCATCACAACCTCAAGCTGGGGCAGGATTAGCAGCAGCAGTGTCTTGCATCACAACCTCAAGTTGTAGCAGCAGTAGCAGCAACAGCGTCTTGCATCAGAACCACAAGCTGTAGCAGGATTAGCAGCAGCAGTGTCTTGCATCACAACCTCAAGTTGTAGCAGCAGTAGCAGCAGCAGCGTCTTGCATCAGAACCACAAGCTGTAGCAGGATTAGCAGCAGCAGTGTCTTGCATCACAACCTCAAGCTGGGGCAGCATTAGCAGCAGCAGCAGCAACAGCGTCTTGCATCACAAGCTGTAGCAGCAGTAGCAGCAGCAGCGTCTTGCATCACAACCTCAAGTTGTAGCAGCAGTAGCAGCAGTAGCAGCGTCTTGCATCACAACCTGAAGCTGTAGCAGCAGTAGCAGCAGCAGTGTCTTGCATCACAGCCACAAGCTGTAGCAGCAGTGTCTTGCATCACAGCCACAAGCTGTAGCAGCAGTAGCAGCAGCAGTGTCTTGCATCACAGCCACAAGCTGTAGCAGCAGTAGCATCTTGCATCACAGCCACAGCTGTAGCAGCAGTAGCAGCAGCAGTGTCTTGCATCACAGCCACAAGCTGTAGCAACAGTAGCAGCAGCAGTGTCTTGCATCACAGCCACAAGCTGTATCAGCATTAGCAGCAGCCGTGTCTTGCATCACAGCCACAAGCTGTAGCAGCAGTGTCTTGCATCACAGCCACAGCTGTAGCAGCAGTAGCAGCAGCAGTAGCAGCAGCATCTTGCATCACAACCTCAAGCTGTAGCAGCATTAGCAGCAGCAGTCTTGCATCACAACCTCAAGCTGTAGCAGGATTAGCAGCAGCGTCTTGCATCACAGCTACAGCTGTAGCAGCAGTAGCAGCAGCGTCTTGCATCACAGCTACAGCAGTAGCAGCAGCGTCTTGCATCACATCCACAGCTGTAGCAGCAGTGTCTTGCATCACAGCCACAAGCTGTAGCAGGATTAGCAGCAGCGTCTTGCATCACAGCCACAAGTTGTAGCAGCAGTAGCAGCAGCAGCATCTTGCATCAAACCATAGCTGTAGCAGGATTAGCAGCAAGCAGCAGCAGCTGATTGTACATTAAGTTGTTGCTACTGCATCATCATCAGCAGCAGCTTCTTGCATCACAACCTCAAGCTGTGGCAGGATTAGCAGCAAGCAGCAGCAGCTGATTGTACATTAAGTGGCTGCTACTGCATCATCAGCAGCAGCAACAGCTGTCCGGTTGACACGGCCATATCGGGTGTCCCGTTCACTCGCCTGATAAAAGACTGCCGCCTTTACACGCGAGGCGGTGGCTGGGGCGACGGGGTCTTGGTGAAATGTTGCAGAAGGCTTCTTGTCAGCGAGCTAGAAGCCACCGCCATCACACGAACTCCGCTCATCATCCTCGCAGCCACGCGGCTTGGCCGTCTGGAACGCTCTCTTACTTCCTTTCCGATGTTGGGAAGTCAGTGGGGGGAGCTAGGCACTTTGATAACACTAACGCAATTTTTGTTACCGGGTAGTAAGTGTTATTTCGTAATTGCTTATGGCTAAAGAGTCTAGGAAATGGCTATTATTCGCCACAAACTTTGTTTTTGTGACCAGGACGGTGATATTTTGAAATGTATCTGTTTTCAATGAGAAAACGGCCGAATTTGAGTCTTTTCGTTCACACAAAGTCAGAAAAAAACAACCTATCAATCAAAATTGACATGTATTTATACTAAAGTAATACAAACATGACTACAAAATATTTATAAGTGAGTAGTTTTTCACTTTCACAAATCAGACCCCAAATGTCATCTCCCATCATGGTCTCGTTATACTGTCCTTGGTAGCGGCGTTCAAAGTCCAGCATATCCTGGTGGAAGCGTTCGCCTTGCTCCTCCGAGTACGCTCCCCATGTTCTCCTTGAATTTATCAAGATGACCATCAAGGATATGGAGTTTGAGGGACATCCCACAGCCCATTATGCCATAGTTCTTCACCAGTCTCAACTAGCCCCACATATTTCGATTTAAAGTTTCTTTCGTGACTGCAGGAATTCATCTTCTTGGTTCTTTCGGTAAAGTCACGACGTAGAAGGGAAGTAATAAAATAATAAAAATAAAACATAATAAAATGATTCTCACGACGTTTCGGCCACAACGCAAGCAGCCGTCCTCAGGTGAAGAACAGGTCTGTCGGGGAGACAGAGTCAGACTCTGTAGCCGAAACGTCGTGAGAATGATTTTATTACGTTTTATTTTTATTATTTTATTACTTCCCTTCTACGTGACTTTACCGAAAGAACCAAGAAGACAGCTCCACACAGTTTTCGACCTTGTGATTGCCCAGGAAGCCACGAACCACTGCGACAAAGCTGTCCCAAGCTGCTTTTTCCTTACTAGTGAGCTTCTTGGGAAATTAATTTCACTTCAGGATCTTCTTTATCTGTGGTCCGACGAAGACAATTTTTTTTTGCATTGCTCGCAGGTGAAATGCCATGCCCAGAGTTTGTCTTGATCACCAACAGGCATGCAGAAATATGTCTTGTATGCCTCACACATCTTAGCAGATGCTTCCACAGAGTACTTTTTCGCTCTTGGCTTGATAAATTGGCCACAGACATAGCTACACGCGTCTGCCGGATGCTTGCAGCCTCTTGATGCCATCTCAGAAAAATGCAGATATGTATCCACTTAAGCAGCTGGAACTAAACTGAACTGATGGGCTTAATGCCCCTGTATTTATACTCCTATTTATATTAGTGGAAAGTTCTAGAATGTTCTAGAAGTTACTCCCAAGTTTACTCGGCACTGAATCTATCCGGAATGTTCTGGAAAATAGGTAAATTTCTAAATATCACTGTCCTGGTCACAAAAGCAAAGTTGGTGGAGAATAGTAATAGCCATCTTCTCTACTTTTGAGGCATAAGCAATTACGAAATAACACTTACTACCCATGAACTAAAAACAACTGTTACACAGTGTACAATCTTCTAGATTGACTCACACTCATCTCTTTGGAACTTCTGTTTTGTGTTTTAGTTTGCTGTTCTTACTCCGCACCGCCGACTATCGTGGTTGACGATACGTGCATTGCGAGAGGAGTTCAACGTGCACGTTACGTAGGTAGACACCACACACAGTAGCATCGTCGTCGTCATCATCATCATCGCCGCACATCATCAGACAGGAGGTGATAGTGACTTTGTGAGAGCACGCTCTGTCTGAGTGTTTGAGAAAGCACAAGATGCAAACTCCGCTGGAATTGACACAACATACATACAGGCAAGCTTACAGGCAGGCATACAGACAGGCAGGCATACAGGCAGGCAGACAGGCAGGCAGACAGACAGACCTACAGACAGGCAGACAGGCAGGCAGACAGACAGACTGACAGGCAGACAGACAGACAGATAGGCAGACAGACAGGCAGATAGACAGACAGGCAGACAGACATGCAGACAGACATACAGAGAGACATACAGACAGGCATACATACAGACAGACATACAGATATACAGACAGACAGGCAGACAGACATACAGACAGAGCGAGGCGTGTACGTGTACAGCTCCAGTTTTTTTATTCCACCAAAAACTTCGCAGTGTCACTTCCCCTACCCTGCAACTTCGCCATTCCACTGACACATTCCTCTCTCTACGTGCGTTTAGCGACGTCTCTGTACGAGTCTTGAGAAAGATTCAGTCCCTCTGCACCGACCCCCTCTCCACTGACCCCTCTACACCGACCCAGGTTTTTTAGGAGAAACCTTTGCCCACCGTCGGATGTCGCCTATTGAATTCGCGCCAAGTTAGTTTTTATTTTATTTTTAGTTTCTTTACCGTTATTTTTTGTATTTCAAAGTTCGACGACAGTATTTGTATTTGAGAATTGTGGCCAATTCGCAAGCCGCTGCCGTG